CTTTCCCCTCACCACCCCCAATAGATGCAACTTTTTTTTTTTTTATTCTCCAACTCTGTGCTCCTTAAGGGCTCTGCCTGGATGTACAGCCCTCCCTGAGGAGAGCTGGCACACCAATACTGATGTTATAAATAATGTTGGCTCCTATCCCTGCTCCTTCCCCTCCCTGCATGGAGCATGATTGGCTTGATTACAGAATTGCCCTGTTTAATATCACCAAGACAATGAGACACCACCAGCCTGTTTAGCAGAAGCTTTCAGAGATATTTACACTTTAAAAATTGAAATGAATGTTTTTTGCAGGCTGTCAGCTTCTCTGTGAGATTCTTTGCTGTCCTTACGGGGAAACCTCTCCTTTGAACACATTCATTGCACAGCATATGAACACGTTGTACCAAAGGAAGGTCTGAGAGTTAAAGTGCCTTTTATACGCCCACTTTAAATCACTGATTCCCTTTACAGAGCTGAGCTGGCAGCAACCCCTTTGCAAAATCTTATGTTGTGGTTTCTAGATTCTTAATCCACGTTCTAACATTTGCAAGAAAACAATTATTGCTGTTAATTTAAACAACCAGAAAGCCCCAAGTTCTTTAAACAGAGTTAGGAAGAGGCTGAATCTGTCTAGTCCTTGGAGCTGGTGAATCTCAGGCTTGCAGTACTTGAATAGAACATGCAGTGCCAACCTGGTTAGTAAACTGAAGTACTTAGGCTGACAAGCTGTAAACACATTCAAAACAGCCATGGCTCAGGGCCAGTGTATGCACACTCTCTAATATCTTCAGTGCTTCTAACCACTCTGGCCTCGGTTCAGGTCGAAAGATTGCACTTATGACTGTGACTCAATCTTTCAGTTTTCAATCTTTGAAATAGCAAGAAGCACCACCCAGTTGAGAGGAAAACACCAGAACCTTATAGGCATGAGTTATCTGTGGAACTTCCTTTATACTGCTTTCTATCTTCATGTGGGTTTTTTGTGGGTTTTTTGGGGAGGGGAAGGTGGGGAGTGGGGGTGGTTTTAGTGTTTTGTTGTGGTTTTTTTTTCTTTTTTTAAAATGTAGTTCATGAGGAGTGGGAGCAAAGCACTGGTTTCTTGCTTGTTCAGAGCTGGCTGGGTGTTGGGTCCTCCCAGCTCCCATGGCAGACAGACAAGAACGGTCGGGCTGCTGCCCTGTAATAGTCTTGTAAGACAGATTTATTCTGAAACGTGTGGGTAGAGAGGTAGCCAAAAGATGGGAGGGCAGTAGAGAAAGGCTAGAAATGGATGCTGGCATCAAAGAGGTAGGGACAGAGTCAGAACATGAAATACTAGTCGGACTTGTACAGGTAAAAACTGGACTGACTAAGCTGGGTAGGAAGCATGGGATGGACTGCTGACCACCTGGCACTCCCTGCTCAGATGGTTAGAGTTTGCCAGTACAGCCTGCCTCCACATCCTGCAGGGAACATCCCATCTGCGATTCGGTTAATAAATAGGTGTATTTTGCCCTAGCTAATGTGGTCTGATAGATGCGGTGCCAGGTCCTTCCCTTGCCACAAGCAGCTTAAAGATTTCTGACTGCTTCCTTCTTGCCAGGGTAGGGGAAAGGAGTCCTTAGCCTTGGGAGGTCTCCCTGATCTGGTGGGGAACTTGATACCTATGCCCAGGATGTTCCCTCTCTTAACTGCCCTTCTGCCTGGAGTGCAGAAACGGAGCACTCAGTGAGGCTGTTGTGGTCACAGCATTGCTCTTTGTTTCCCTTTTTTGTCAGATATGGGCAAGGCAGAAAATGCCCTTGGGTACTGGGTGCATCACATCTTGGCATGCTGTAAGGGGAGAGTGGAAGGACAGTCTCGCACTATCTCTGCCTGCTAATTGCTCTCTCTTGTTTTGGGTGAGCAGGTGAGCCTGTTCCAAATTCCTCACTTAGAGAATGTTGTAATACCAAATAATAAACTTGCTCCTCTTCTTCCTGATGTTGACACCAGCTCCCAGTGAATTTCTCAGTCCTGGAGTACATTTCATAACAAGTGTAACTTAAAAAGCACCCTGAGGCTGAAGAAGCACAGGGGCTGTTTTCCAGATGTTCCTCTAGCAGCAAGGGCTGCTGCGCAGTGCAGCCCCAGATGACAGTGTCAGACAAGGTCTCCCTCAGCAGGAAACTCTTGTCAGGGCGCTGCCTCTCAGGAGGGAATAGAGAGTGGCAGCACAATGCAGACAGCAGCGCCGTGGTGCCGTATTGATCCCTGGCGCAGCAGGAGATCATCTTTTCACATATGAGGAATCTGTATGTAAATTTGAGGTACCGCATTGGAAACCTTTTAATGTGCTATATGATTGTTGGATAAACTCCCCTGAGGGGTTTCGTACTGTAGCTTAAAGCAGCCAGGCCCTGCCCTGTCTGGCTGCATCCGAGGCTGGAGTTTTGCAAGCATCACGCTTGGAAAATGTTCCTCTTAAAAAGGATGAGGACAATACTGTGGACTTTGCAAAGTGACCTTGTGGTAATGGCCCGGAAGGAAGGCCTCTAGTGTGTCCTGGGAGATGTTTGTCTCTCTGAAAGCACATCTCTTTTAAAGAGAGGAAATTAACATTCGGGCAGAAAATGCTTTCTCTGTCAGCTGACGGTGCCCAGCAAGAACTGGCTTGTAAATTAGAGCTTTTATTTGTGAAGAGGAAAACTGTTCTCAGTGCTATAAGGAAAACTGTTGTGCCACCGTCATGATGGGGAAGTTTGAACCATTTGAATAACTTGTTGTTGTGTACTGCTCTTTACAGATGTTACAAACATACCCAGCTGGTTTTTAAATCCTCACCTCTTCCAAGAGAACCTGCTAAAGATAATGATAGTGCTGTGTCAATATTGACCAGTTACCTCATCCTCAGCAGTGGGGACTTTGGAGCACTGTTAGTTTTTCTCAATGCTTCTTTGTGATGCTGCATTTTTCTTTTGTAAGTGTTGTAAAAAAATCTTTGGAAACCCGGAGGTATTGTGGTTTTCTTGCACCAGTGCTGCTACATCCCAGCCTCTTCAGATGAAGACGATCTTTGTTAAAAATCTTGGGGTTGTCTGTCTTTGTTACATGTATGTACCATGCCTTATAAAATGGTCCGTGAGGTGGACACCCAGGGACTACTAACAGAACAATCATGAGGAATGATCATGCAGTTGTTGCACATTTCTGTTGGAGCTGTAACAGGCGGGGTGCTCTGTAAATGCACAGAATCTGTCGCAGCATTCGTTTCACCATGTAGTTTGTCACTGGTGTTTTTCTGAAATCTTCTGAACACGACTGCTGAATTACAAATCCCTAGCTTCTTTGAAATGCCCTTTCAAGATTTTAAAAGGCACTGTGGTTCTTACTGAACCTCACTGAAGGGTGGGATGCAAAGACAAGTTCTTCTTTCCATGCACTACCTGACGTGTGTGTAAATTGTATTCATTTCCTTAGAACAGCTTCTGTCTGCCACTTTTATTTAGGAGGTGATTTGACACCTCACAAAATTTTTATAAAGGAGTTGCTGCAAGGTCTTTTAGCCTAGAAAGTAGCTTGGGAAATTTAATGAAAGCATTCAAAAATCAGGATGGTTATTGATGAGACTGAATCCAGAAATATCTGGGAGCGTGAGGATCAGTTTCTTTCTTCATGCGGTGCGTAGGCTCACAGTCACACTCAGAATGTGATAGTTACTGTAAGCTTACCTATGGCCAATATACCTTCTCTTCATAATGAACCTTATATATATCTGCAGGGTTCAAAGCATAGGACCCTAAATTAAAAGGCACTTTTTTGTCAGCTATAGGGCTTTATGTTCAGTCAGTAGGGTGGAGCATACTGCTATGTTTCCTGATCCTCCTGCCGCTGAAATCAATAGCTGAAGATTCTTCTGGATATTAAGAGGAGTGGGATGGAGCCCCGGACAACCTACCCAAAGCCCTTGAAAAGTACCTACCCTTTCCGAGCCAACTACTGACTCTATTCTTAGAGACATTTAACAACGTAAGAAGGTTGCAAGAATTCTAAGAAGCCATTTTTGTGAATGACAGAAATAAAAAGAACTGAAAAGAAGATTCTGTAAAAGGGGGGTGATTCTCATTATTTATAGCCTTCTTTGGCCATATTTTTTTTCAGAGTTTATGGAAGTACTTAGTTTTACTTTATCAGGTTAAACACTTTTCAGGTAACAGTTTTGAGAGGAAGGATAAATGAAATTCAACAGAGGGGATTACTGCTTCTCTTAATACTTGATGTTAGTCTTCCCTTGATGTGTACATTTGCCCATGAATGTATTTTTTCTTTCTTTCTTTCTTCAGTTATTTTGGTTAAGAACTCCTTCATGGAATCCCAATAAGAAAATCAGCATGTGTGTTCCAAGCAGTGCTGATTATTCCATCCTCTAACTAAAAATAGACATTGTGCTAGCTGGCACTGAAAAATAATTTAGGGAACAGTAGAGAGTGGGAGAAAGAACAGCCATCTTAACAGTAATGTCAGGCTGTTACTGCTGTATATTCATGCGCATCTGTGTAGATACAGGGGAAGTGATCCTGTCTGCACAGAGAAATATGGCTTTGGAGTAAGATCATAGAGAACTCTCGTGGGAGGAGGGAGTGAATTCACATAACCAAGGGTCCCTAAGCTTTGTTTAGGTGGATAGATTTTGAGTTTTATGTTGTGTGTTTTGAATTTTATGAAGAAGTTTGATCACCTAATTGAGGCACCAGAGTTGGATGACTAAAGCTAACTAACACCTGTAAATAATCTACATGACATCGATTGCTGATAAATAAAAATATCTTTAATGTTTTGTGTTTGTATATTTCTAGAAACAGAATACTGAGAACAGGTGGGGTTTTGTAGTCTGAAAGTAAACCAAAAAACCAAATATGTGGTGTTCAGGTGAATGATATCTTTTACTCTTTTTTTTTTTTTTTTTTTTTTTTGTCCCTCCACCCTCCCTCTCTTTCCTTCTTTGTTTTTTCTTTTTTTCTTTTTCTTTTTTCTCATTAACTTCTTTGTAGAGTGAGCCAGACTTGGAGAAAGGCCTGGAGATGAGAAAATGGGTCCTGTCAGGAATCCTAGCCAGTGAGGAAACCTACCTGAGCCACCTGGAGGCTCTGCTGCTGGTAAGCACTGTTGGCAGAAACCATTTCAAACACTGGTGCTTGAGTTTTCAGTGCTTCTTCCATCCAGTTTCCCAGAACTTCATGTACCATGGGTTGTAAGTTGTGGTGTGCAAAGTATAGCTGTTACTCCTCTTCTGCAATAGAGAAAGAGAAGCTTAAAGAAAGGACTGGATATGGCACAACCAGGGAATTATTAGTGTGGTAGTATCCAGGAGCTCTGTGTTTCAGTATCTTGTGTTAATTATTAGACACATTGCTGTACAGTTGGACAGGCATTAAGGAAATGGAGTGTAAAGGGATTTTAATCACACCATTAATATCCTGGGAAAATCCACCTACCAGGGGTGACTGATCCCCAAGAGAGAACTTGTTACTGTCTAGCTTTCAGAAATTGTATCAATGCAAATATCACTTATGAATAGGATGAAAAACAACTCTCTGGAGGGATGTGTTGTAATGTGGCAAGGGTGATTGTACTTGGTTTGCATGATAACGATTTCCTTCTTTCCTCATTTCAGCCTATGAAGCCTTTGAAAGCAGCTGCCACCACCTCTCAGCCTGTGCTGACTAGTCAGCAGATTGAGACAATATTCTTCAAAGTGCCTGAGCTCTATGAGATCCACAAAGAATTCTATGATGGACTCTTTCCCCGAGTGCAGCAGTGGAGCCACCAGCAACGTGTGGGGGACCTCTTCCAAAAGTTGGTGAGTCAGCTGCCATCACCAGATTTTACCTCTCACTCCATCTCACAGGTGCTGGTACGGTTCTCTTTGGTGACTGTGCTTACACCGAAGGGATGGAAGCCCATAGCTGGGTTAGCTGAGAGGCTTTTAGCTTTGCCACAGCAGTGAAGGGCCTACAGCAAAAGCGGCTGTGTCATTGCCTTTCATTAAAGACTCCAGCAAGCTATGCTACTGATACAAATACAGTTTTGCAGAAATGTCAAATCTCCAGGGTGTCTGCAGTGTCCTCAAACCATTTGCTTTAGAGGAAGACAGGAGAATGGCAGTGTTAAAAAGCATACTTTTTAACACCAACAGCGAAGTGTTTCTCATTATTGCTGCACTCCCCCACACATGCTTACTTCTCTCTGTGGTGCTTTGCTCTATCTTGTGCCAGTTTCCTCTGTTTTATGGTCATCACCTTTGGCTTTGCTTTTCTACCACCATCCTGGCCTTGATATTCCCCTTGCTGCTATGCTGATGCAGTCACCCTGCTGCTGAGAATCCTCCAAGCAACCTCAACAAAATTCTCTGAGTGCAGAATAGGACGAAGACATATACAGCATATTCCTGAGGCTGAATTAATATTGCTGAGTTTGAGCCAGATGACAAATTGTTTGCATTCTAGGAGATTCCTTTGGCCCCTTTAGCCTCTCCCATAGCATGTGCAGAGAGCAGGGGATTAAAGGAGCTGTTTTTTCCTTTTTAGAAAATAAAAGAATCTCTGCATTCCTGAGGTGCCTCTGATTCTCAGGGTAGGAGTGACATTCCTGTGAGGGGTTTATTGGATGGGGAGTGCGCTTTACTAGGGTCACTCAATTGTTAGCAGCTGTGTAGCCCAGCACCAGCCCCATCCCCTATGGAGCAGGAGGAGATGGGCCTGGAAGATGATGTTTTCCACGCGTGCCAGCAGCTCAAGATCAAAATATGGAAATCTGCTTTTCGCTGCCAGCATGTTTTAGCCAGGAGGGGTCAAGTTGGTGCCTTGGTGAGTAGTTCATGGTATGCAATTTGAGCAACTGGTTTAAGAAGACAAAACCACCTGCTGCTAGTTGCTGAATCAAATATACAGAAGGCTGCTGAAAGTGGAAAACTGCATTGAAAGTGTAGTGCAGGAATGGAGAGAGCACTAGCTAGTAGAAGACCTGAATATATTCTTTACCACTATTGTCGGTCGAGCAAGCTTTGATTTGCTGTACAGCTACTTAGGCCTTTGTTTAAGACCATTTCTTGCTGATGGTGATCACAGGTGCAAGAGTTAAGCCCTTCTGGCACTCTGTTTTTATTTCCCTGATTTTTTCTGCATTTGTGACAGAATCATTGATTTTGTTGGATTAGTATTGGAAGCAAAGGAGCAAATTGCCCTAGCGCGGGAAGCTTTGAGCTATCTTAGATGTTCCAGTTTCTGGGGCTTTGGTACAGTATCAGTGGGAATTGCAAACTCTTTGCTGGATGAGATAAAGCTAATAATTCCTGGCAGGCCATGGGAAGCAGCTAGATGAGAACATCAGGCATTGCAAGACATCTATACAGGATGTACATCAAATCTTTTGGAGCAGACTGTTTGCTTGTGGTCATGTCATGCAATCTGATGATAAACAACTGGAATCCTTGTTACTATCCTGAGGTCCCTGGGGACATTAATTTTCTTTAATACAATATAATACAAAACAAAGCACTGTAGATTGAAGTTATAGATAGTGCATGCGAGGAGTTTTACAGTTTCATGTGGTCTGGCACAAGGTATGATCCATTTGCAACATCAGTGACTGTTATTCCACCTTTTTCCTGTTGAAACTAAGAAAAAGAAAAAAAGATGTTAGGCATGTGGGAGAGAAATATGTTTCTCATTTTTGGGGAGTATTTTGTACATATTTCTTATAACTAGAAACTCTGTAGAACTGATTTTAGAAATAAGAAATAATTTTCAGGAATGGAAAAAAATTTAACCAAAAGCCAGTTATTTCTACCAAAGCTTGTTTAATTTTTAGTGTGTTCTTTTTAATTGAAAAAGAAAATCTTAGACCAGCATGAAAACTGTGTGAGCATTATTGCTTTGATAGGAAGTTCAGCTTTTAATGAAAAAGATGCTTTCATGATGGCACGTTTAGAGGAGGAAAATGAAAGCTTAGAAAGACTGTTCAGGAGTAGCAGGAAATGAAAGAGCCACACAGGAATAGAGAAACTTTAAAGTTCTGCCATGTTAATTGACATCACCCAAACCCAAACGTCATAAGACCTGCACAAGATCAGTAATTCTGACAGCAGCTTCTTCACAGAATTGTGCCCCAGTGGCAAATACAGATTTTCTTCTCTCCACAGTGCTGGGACCAGGTCATCCCTGGAATTAAGCAAGCGCATTTTCCTTCAGCTTCAGTCATAACTGTATTATTTTGTATGAGAGTTGAGATTGGTTCCTAATCTTTCAGTAAAATGTGCCCTAGGGAATTGCTTGCTGTTTCTTAGCCTCTGTTAGCTTAAGAAATTTGTGCAGGGAATGTTCTCCTGAGAGTGGCTTTTTCTCTTCCATCGTCTCTTGCGCAAAGCTCCATAGAGAATGGGGAACACAATGGTTATAAGAGCAGGAGAGGAAAAGAGCACTGTCGGGGGGAAGTTAACTGCTCTGCCTGCTGAATGTCTTGGGCAGAAGTGTCAGGGAAGTTGCAGAAATAGAGGTAAGTGCAAGCTCTTCTGGTAACAACCTTCTCTTCAGTGGAGCCTTTTAGAGCACTCCACCTGTTGGCTCCCTCTGACCATGCACTTGCAGCACGTCCGAGCTGCCGCCGTGTTCCCAGCACAGTGTGTGCAGCTCTGCAACACAAAACCAGCTCTGCAATCCAGACAAGCTTGGAAGCCACCCAGGGATTTCCCAGGCCGGATCTTATGTTCTCTGGCATGAATATGGCTGCAATTCCTAAGTCAGTAAGCGGGATCAGTGCTAAGACTCGGTGATAATTAATAGCTTGTTACTGCATTCTGAGGCCTGTTCCATCTTCTTCTGGACCAATTACATATTCTTTATGCTGGAAAAACTACCATTTTCTGTCATGTAGTGCTGCAGTCACTGCCTTCCAAAGAGATTGTGCTCTGGATCACTCTTCTGTATTTTCAGTACTCTACTGCCCTTCTAATGATGTTCACTAATGCAGATATGGGTTAGTATCTGGGTTTGATCTAGTGTGTCCATAATGCAAAAGCCAACGAGTAGCTTTCTGGGGTCACATTTGTGCTGTTGGGCTGAATCATTCCTGTCTGATTCATATTTTGTGGCAAATAACCAGCAGCTCCAGTTACATCAATGAGCTAAAATATTAATAGATACTAATCTGGCAGTTCAGAAGGGAAAAATATATGGCAGTAATAAGGATGTGTCATTCTCACAGGCTTCCACATCCTTCACAAGTGAACTTGTTCAGCATAGATGGAACGGGGTGCATGGGAGCACCTGTGCTGGTTAAGCAAGGTTGACAGGTCAGAGATGTCTTTCTGGGCCAGCTCAGCATTCCCTGTGATTCTTTGGCATGAAGGAACATGACCTGATCATTAGATACTGAGACTGGCCATCCCAAACTGTCGTCTTCCTCAGCATTTATTTTATTTTGTTTTGCTTCCTGCAGGCCAGCCAGCTGGGAGTGTACCGGGCCTTTGTGGATAACTATGAAGTTGCTATGGAGACAGCAGAGAAATGCTGCCAAGCCAATGCTCAGTTTGCTGAAATCTCTGAGGTAATGTCATGGTATGCAGACACACGAGCCATCTGGATCTGACTAATACCCTACGATGTCACTCCTGTCTATCCTCCAAGTATCTTAGCAGCCCTGACTTCTGGAGGAGTTGTGAGCTCCTGTAGACTCGCTGCTTCAGTTCATACTCTTACAGCAATTTATACTTTGGGCTAATAGAGGTTATCACACAAATAGCCTTTATGTGCTGTCCTTACCCAGGGAATCTTGTAAAAACTGTCATTGCTTTGAACTTCTCAGCTCTATGCCACCTTCATGCATTTCTAGAAGGGAAAGCTGTGTTTGAGTTCCTCAGATATTTATCCTCCTAATGATGATGCTGACTGTGATGTAAAAAGCCACCCTTAATGGCTTGCATTATGGCTGTCAGTGGAATTGCAGGCTTCACTGGCATGGAGTGGAGGAGAGAGTAGCTCTCTATTTAATAAAGGCAAGTGTGTCAACCATAATCTATAATATTATTCACTGGACTGCTCTGATTTCCTCTCTTTAAGAGGAGTACCTTGTGTCAAAGCATTTTTAATACTTTTTCAGGCTTCCCAGGCCACCAGATTTGCCTGCAGTGTATGGTTTCATTGACTCTTTGTATTGTGGTGATTATATCTTGAAGAACTCAGTTGCCAAGAAAACACGAACTTCATATGTGTGTTCGTAAAAATAAACAGATAAATAATCAGCGCTGAATAATACTATGAGTTTATTGCTCTGAAAAAACTCCTGAGTACATTCAATATTACATGTCCCTTTAGATTTTTATGATAAAGAGGTAAAATAAAACATGTTCCCTCTGTGAAATGAGGGAAGCACTCATCAGAGTGCAAATGTCTTCTTTCTCTCCTATCCTGAGGATTTCCATTAGGTTCTGGTCCTTTGCCTGACCACTTCTGTGCTCTAGTGGTGTCAGCTCATTAGTAAAATAGCATTCCCTGTGCTTACTTTTCTTTCAGTACTAAAATACATTCTGTGAACTTCCCCATTTATTAATAATAATATGTATAGATAGTATTATGGTAGTCCCTAGAAGACAGAATTGAGATTAAGGCCCCAGGGTCCTGGGCTTTTTGCAAATGTTATCCCTCTGTTTTGCTGTTTTCTGAAGGATAATTCTGAAATCATGCTAGTATCTACTGTATTTGGAATGATGGTGATGATATTTTTGGATTTGTGTCCTGGGGAGGATTTCAGAGCTCAGCACATTAACACATGTGGCTTCACAGTCCGTGTGCAAATATAAGTCACAGGCACTGTTCCTCTTCTGCCATGAGAGCTGACTGGGACAAGGTCACCCAGCTCTGAGTACAGGTACAAGGAATTATAACCTGTGGGTACTGAATCCCAGTCCTGTACTTTATTTATTGGTGGTGTATATGTGCTGTGACAATGACTGCATCCCTACAGACATGACTTTCTCCTGCAGGTGGTTTAAAATTTCCACCATCCCTGTCTCTATAGGTGGTTCCCTGCTTTGCTGCATCTTTATTGACACGTACTCCTAAGAAAATTGCTTAGTATTTGAGATCTGTGGGTGCCTGTGACATGGCAGTGTTGGATTTACCAAGAAGGAAAGCGCATTTTTCCATCACTGACTTGGACTGTGATAGGGCTGTCTTCCATTCACACTTAGGCCCTCCCTTGGAGGAGCAGGTAGTCTCTTGCATTCCCGTGTGATATTTCAAGGTGATTGACCATCTGCTACGTGGGTTTTCTTTTTCTTTTAGAATCTAAAGGCTAGAAGCACAAAGGAATCTAAAGATCAGACGACGAAAAATTCCTTGGAAAGTGAGTGATCCATGCAGAGGAGACTGTGGTTTGTCAGGACTGTGTGGAGGTTGTTGCCAAACCTTCGCTCTCCCTTTTTCTTTTTAAATGCTGGAAAGTTATGGAGTCTCTGCTGGCTCTACCTGGGAAATCAGTTCCCTTTTGCTACGTAGCAGAGCTTGTGCATAGTAAGCTGCATGCATGTGTGGGGAAGACCCCTGCCTAGCTTTAAAACCTCATCAGTCCCTTTGGGCAAAACCAGACTAGCCAAAGGACTGCTGTGATTTTAAGAGAACATCTGCTACCCAGTGATAGCACAAACACAATCCTAGCTAGCAGTTATTGTTACATGATTTTTGCCCTATGGTAGCATCTAGAGAACCTGGTTAAGATCAGGTTCCATGGTGCTTGTCTCTGTGCACATAAGTAGAAGACAACCCATGTTATAAGAAGCTTCTGTGCTCGCTAATATAAAAGCCAATCCCCTTCCTGTTTTGTCCTGTTGTAAGGATTTGGAAGCAAACTACATATCATGCTGAACTCCAGAAGGAGGGATGCCCCGCCAACCTTTCAGGGACCTACTTGGCAACTGTAAGATTACAAGTCCCAGTTCCGACGTGTGGGACCAGGCAGGTTGCCAGGGAATTGTCAGAGGTGTGCCATGCTGTGTGCAGTTGTTCTGTGCCTTGTGTGCTTCTCATCCCCTTGGGTGCAGGGTGTGCTCACAAGTGGGCATCTGTTTGCCGAGGAGCGTGTTTATTTTCACTGTGTGTTCGTGTGTGTTTTATTGGCTGTACAGCACATTAACCTTAGAGAAGGGAATTTTCCAGTAGCTCATTGGATAATAAACCTGTGCCTGTACATTCAGTTCAGTTGGACAAGTTGCTCTATAGGGGCTCTGTTTAGGTTCCTCCTCTTTATGTTCCTGTTACTTTTTTCTTCACAGCTCTATTATACAAGCCAGTGGATCGAGTGACTCGCAGCACACTTGTCCTTCATGTAAGTATCTGGTTTTCAATTTTAGGTCCCTTTCCTATTTTCTTCACCCTTCAAATTTTCCATGGAGCTGCAGGACTGCAAAAATAAACCTGTCATGCAGCGTAAGAGCCTCTTCCCTTTACACTAAGGGGAGAGAGTCCATAGGTAGGACCCTGCTGCTTCTTCAGTAGTGTTACCAAGAAGTGCTAGGTATTATCTTCTTCCTCTAGAGATAAAGCCTTGCTGTAACCTCTAAAAAGAAGATGGAGCTTCTTGTCCTACAGCTCTAGTTAGGGGCCCTCAGACCCTTTTGCTTTCCAGCACTGCTCATGGTTCTGTTCTTTGTGTTCCTGCTGTCAGGATTTGCTCAAGCACACTCCAGTGAGCCACCCTGATCATCCACTCCTGCAGGATGCTCTGCGGATCTCACAGAACTTCCTCTCCAGCATCAATGAAGAGATCACTCCTCGTCGGCAGTCCATGACTGTAAAGAAGGGGGAGGTGAGTCTTCCTGCTTTCGTTATGTTCTCAGTTTCTAAATACCGGTTGTGCCTTTTCTGTAGAGCAGACTAGGAAGTTATGCTATTAATTCGTTTGTTGCTAAGATACAGTTAATGCAGTGTCCTTGTTCTCTAAAGGATGCGGTACAGCTCCTCTCTGTTTTCTGTTCAGAAAACAGTTTGGAAACCCAGAGGAAAAGTATGATTAGAGTTTTGTCCTTAGCACTGTTATAATCATACAGAATTTCCATGATGCATATTGCTATGCAGTAAATGGTTTTGTGTTTTACGTGCAAACTGAAACCAAACAGAAAGCCTGGGAGGAGAAAAAGGTGAGGAAACATCAGAAATCATAAAATATTAGGAAAAGCTGTTTTCGGAAATCTTCATTCTTGCCATAAAACTCAGTTTTTGGATTCTCATTTCTAAAGAAGAATGTTGTAAATGGGACTAGGAAGCAAAACAGATGGAATGAGTTGGGAAAGCTAAGGGAGGTGATTGACTCCTAAGGGTGTAATATAATTCTTCTCAGCTCTGCTAGGAGCTGGACTACACCTAGAAAGTTCCAAGATGTGCAGTACCTTTGCCTGCATGGAATATTGTGCAAGGAAGGCATAGAAGTACACAACAATAAAGGTCCTGCGTGGCAAAATGGTCTTGATTCATCTGCTTCATAATTTCATTAGAAAGCAATTCATTCCTTCCTGATGAGGAAAGGCCAGGACTGACAGAAGTATTGAGAGAGAGAAGGATGTAGGAGATTGGACAAAAGAGAGGTGCAACTCAGATAGTATATATGTAAGAGGAATTGTGGCAGCATGCCAGAGACACTGGCTGATCAAAAGTGACCCAAATTACCCTGTGCAAAAACATCTCTTACAAAGCCCAGGAGATTAAGATACCATGAACCTTCATGATGTATTCCCAAATCCTGTCAGTTAACATGTTTGCTTTTAGCTGTTAAACTGATTTTCAGCTGACAGAGATTTACTAGAAGCCAGAGTACTGGGAATTTGGTGCACTTTGTCCTGCAAGTCTTGCTCATTGTCTCATTTTGTCAACTGAGGAAGCCTGCAGCTGAGAAAAGGAGGGGCTGAGCAATTGGAGGTTGAAGCTCAGACATCAGTCACCAGGGCCTCAGTGGTCGTAGATGGCCTCATTAAAGCAGATGCTGATCGAGTCATAGCAGAAATCTCAAGCTAGAATGCCCCCTCGCAGGGGAGGGAGCATTTTGTGTTCTCCAGTTGTCTGTCAGCATCTCAGTGAGGGATACAGGCTTTGAAAAGTGTCATGCAGAATCCTAATGACGTGCTGGAGCCCAGACTGCGGGTCAGGCTCAGGAGGATGATCCTGATGATCTCTTCTTGGAGTGGGGTATTTGTCAGAACTTAGAAAGCAGGAAGCAGGGGCTTGCCAGGATTGGGGTCAGCAGGCCTGTTGACAGTCTCACTGGTCCTGCAGGGACTCCATGTATGATGTGGGGAGGGAAAGAAGGGGACATACCCAGAGAGGGGGGCTGTGAGTGTGCTGGGGTGGACTGGGAACCCTCTGTGCTCTTGCTTACTGCATACAGCTTGCACTGAGCCCAGGGAAGAAAAGGACTGACTTCTGATGCTTCCTAGAGTTTGTCTTCCACTTTGGGAATCTGACGGTAGATACTTTCTTTAGTCATTTGGCACCAATATCCCACTTTTTTTCAAAGCAGTAATACCCCAGTTGACACCACTCTGTATCTAGAGAGTAGGTATGTTCACTCTCTGTGTAGTAATCCAGAGACACAAGTCTGCTCTTCTGCTCTCAGCTACTCCGTGTGGGTTAGTGATGGCTGCTCCTTCCTACAAGCTGCTCAGCTTGGGGTCATAGCTGGGTTTTGTTTATGCCTGTTAATCTTTCCTTTTCTACTTATCCTTTCCTCCCACTCGCCTTGCTTGTGCTTCCCCTAGGGTGACAGGACAGTGTGCAGTTTGCATCTCATAATTGACTGCTCTCAATGCATAATGCATTTTTTATTTTAATGAATCGCTAGCTTGCTTTGATGGCTTTTTTCATTATTTGTCTTCCTCCCATTGAAATTTCCTTGGTGGAAAGGAAGGAGGGAAAACAGCCCTTTCCCCTCATGTATTGCTTAGGTGCTGATCTCAGTTATCTTTTTTTCCCAGTCCTTGCCTTTTATGTGGAATATTTTTCCCCTTTGAATGTGTTGTGGGGAGGAGTCAAATCTCCTTTGCCAGCCTCTTGCTCCAGCTCTCTTTTTTCAGGATTGCTTTGAACTGGGGAAAGCAGCCAGTTGTTAATCTCCCTAGTGACAGGCTGCTAAGGAGAGGAGTGCAGGTCAGGAGAGAGTACAGGCTCATCGGCACAGTATTCCTCCCTTTTGCAAAAGGTGATTCCCTGCTCCAGGAGTGTCAGCTCAGTCTGACCTGGCTTCCTGTGTGATGTCAGGTGTTCTTCCTGCACACCAGCCCTCTGGTTCTGCTTGGCTCAGTAGGCTTTTTTCTAATTCTAGACTTAGGCATATAAAGTATTCTGTGATGTGTGGACCTGGTTTAATTTGCTGAGCTGAATGAGTATTTCAGATATTGCAAGGAGATGGGAACAAAGGAACCAGAGGGACAGAAGGGGCTACAGCAGGGAAGGCAGTATTGGTGGTTAAGCCCATGAACACAACGTTTGGTCCTTGCTGCCTGCCAGGCTGACTGTAGCTAGTCTCTGCTTTGTGGTTTGCTGAGGGCTGTGGTATGGAGGAGCCAGGAGAGCACCAGCCTCAGTGTGGCAACACAGGGGAGCCAGGAGGGCTTATCTGGGCTTTTGGGTCTGTTTTCATTCAACCTGATCCTGACACATTCTCTTTCTCCCTCCTTTTCTTCCCATCTTTCTACTTTTGTGGTTTTACTTTTTTACTTCTGATGGATTGTCTGAAGGTATCTACTTTGCCAACCCTCTAAATAACCAAAAAAATGCACGGTGGGAAAGGGGTCTGAGTAGCACTGTACCTTCTGACTCAGAACATCAGTGATGTAGAATCTTCCATCCTTTAGGACCACAGAGCAGAAATCTTATTTGCTCACTCTGATCCTTCTTCACCTCTATCCTCTTGGCTTAAACAGGAAATCTGTTTAAGGTTCTGCTTCCCCAAGGGACCATTCCCAGTAGGAAAATGAATGCTTTGAGGTGAAGGATGTGCCAATATTATGTGTCAGAAGGAAGGGAGTAAGAACTTTTCTAGTCTTATTAACAGAGTAGCTATATGGACTGCATGGCTTTGTTTTTTTTCAATGAATGCAATGGATGCAATGACTGTAATGGATGCAATGACTGTAGAGCGTGTGTCATCTTTCCCTGCCAGAAGTAAAGGCTTGTGTTTTTAGCAATTCAGCCTGTTCCTGTAAAGCCAGGAATTAATGAAACTGAAAAAAAATTACAGTTTGTTTGGGAGATGGTGGTTCCTTTCTTGACTACTGCTCATCTAATGTTCATTGCAGAATGTTGTTTCAATACAGTTCAGACCAACTGGAGTGGTAGTGGCTGCCATTCTGCCTTGCCCCTGGCCATGCAGTCCCACCCTCTCTGAAGTGTTCACACTGGTATTTGTGTGATCCCACAGTGCCGTAGAGGAATGGAGCTGCCTAAAAATGAAGGCGCTTTGAGTTTTGGGTCACTCTGCTGGCTGGGTGTCATAGTGTCTGGTCTCATCAGCACCAGTCCAGACACAAGAAGGCTGATGGGCAGTCCCTTCTGGGATCAAGCCCACTAGGTCACATGCTGGATCAGCTTATACTACTGTGTACCTTTTTCCTTGCCCTGGAGAGAAGAGGCTGTTTGGCAAGCTGCTCTGCTGTGTTTATAAATGTGGTTTTAAACTCGCAGTCAAGGGACTGGATATCATTGCCTTAGGCTCCCGTTTAACTTGGTAGAGACCAAGTGTGCTAGGGAAAGGAAAGGACAGAGGGTATTTGCAAGGGAGCAGAAGGGCAGACTAAAGCCTTTGAAAAGCTGTGAGCTAAGCTTAGACACAGGCAGCCATGCACAGCTTGAGGCCTGGTGCCTACTGCTTCTGGAGGCCTTGGGCAGATGTTGGTGGCCAAGAAGGCCAATGGCATCCTGGCTTGTATCAGCAATATCGTGGCCAGCAGGGACAGGGAAGGGATCTTACCCCTGTACTTGGCACTGGTGAGGCTGCACCTCGATTATTGTGTTCAGTTTTGGGCCCCTCACTACAAAAAAGCCATTGAATGACTTGAGCGTGTCCAGAGAAGGACAACAAAGCTGGTGCAGGGTCTGGAGCACAGGTCTGATGGGGAGCGGCTGAGGGAACTGGGGGGGTTTAGTCTGGAGGAGGCTGAGGGGAGACCTCATGGCTTCCTACAGCTGCCTGAAAGGAGGGTGCAGAGAGGGGGGATGAGTCTCTGTAACCAAGTAGTAAGTGATAGGACAAGAGGTAATGGCCTCAAGCTGTGCCAGGGAAGGAGGTTTAGACTAGATATTAGGAAGCATTTCTTTCCAGAAGAGGTTGTTGGGCGTTGGAATGGGCTGCCCAGGGAGGTGATAGAGTCCCCATCCCTGGAGGGGTTTAAGAGCAGGGTTGACCCAGTGCTGAGGGATCTGGGGGACTTGGGATCTGTCAGTGTGAGGTTAATGGTTGGACTGGATGATCTTCAAGGTCTTTTCCGACCTAGACAATTCTGTGATTCTGTTGGCAATAGAGCACTCAAAAATTATTTTGGATGCTTCACACTCTTGCCTTACAGCTGGAGTCAGAGAGCTCCTGGTGACAAAAGCTTTGGAAAGAAAAAAGCAAGGCTATTAAGATGCTCAAAGAACAGCCCGTTTAGCTCCCTAAGCAGAGCATCCCTTTATTCTGCAATGCTGGTCTTGCAACACCAGCACACACACACAAGGAATAATTTTCTTCCTACGCTCTGTAGAAAGCCAAACCACCTCTTCCTCACTGACATATGCCAATACCCATCTCCCGCTTTTACCCTCCTCCTCCTGCATCACACATGTTCCAGTCCTTCCCAGGGCTCTCACCCACTCACGCTGCAGGCCTCTGCTGTCACCACATCGGATGAGCTCTTTCCTCGGCACACAAGTGAGGAGTCGTCCTTTTGTACAGCTGTGGTTCTGCATAAGTAGGTTTTTAAATTCCACTTTTTGTAATGTGTCTCAGACAAGCTGGCCACGCTTCCTGGTGTTAAACAGTACGTGACAGCAGCAGAATTTATCATATGCAAACAGCACAAAAACACTGTAGGATGAATAGATGAGCATACAGGTAGTCGTGAGGTTGGTAGCAGAGGAGGGGGAGATGCAGAGGAGGTAAGAGGAGGACAGCAATAGACAATCCAAAGAGGATATCCAAGCACTGAAAGATGTACAGGGAGAGCTCTTTTGTCCAGAGCACTGAGGTGGGTGGGAGAAGCAGATGAAAACATGCAAAGGAAAGCAGGGCCTAGAAAGGAGATGTGGGACTTAGACCGCACTGGTACAGGAGCTTTACAAGAGCCACTGAAAGTAACAGTCAGTCCAGGCCCTGTTTGAGAGATTAAAGATAATCCTAATTCACTCATTATGATACAAAATAGGAAGTTTTCCTCTGGGCCTCCTGGAACATCTTTCTATAGCTGAGCCTGAGCTCCTGTGCTGGACACCTGACAGTCCTGGGGCTGTCTGTGAAAGCGAGGGGGTCACTCTGCCACTGTGCTGCCACTCTGATCTTACGCTTATGTTTTCCTGGACACCTTATTTAGTGTTTCTTTAGTGTATGTCTAATTTCAGGGTATTGTAGCACTTTTGGTAACCTTAGGAAACAGCATAGCTTTGGAAACAAGGTGGAGAGATTGTTTCCCACACATAGGCTCTTGTATGTCATGTACAGCAGGGTCACCCTGCCGAAGGACCTTATGTTGGAGGCCACCAAAGGAATTGCTATTGCTGAGCCTGGGTGGGAGGAGATGACCAAAGTGGGCTTTGGTTCCCAAAGGCCTGCAGAGCTGAGGTGGCACAGGCATCTGACCGGCCTGTCCTGTCTGAGGGGGCTGCTGCCTCCCCCACCGTGGGGTGGGATGGGTTGACTCATGTCGGGAGGTCCAGGAAGGTGCCCTGCGCTCCCTCACCACTGGTTTGGCAGGGATCGGGTAAGCCAGTTGGGAAATCCTTTTATTGTTTCCCTCTGACCTGCTGAACCCTCCCGGCAAGATGAATCATTTACAGCAAAGGATGTGACCCCTTGCTGAAAGTTCTCCTCCTCTGCTCCACTGGTGCTGAGCAGCCTGGGGCATGCCTGTTGTGCCCAGCCCTTACAAAAGTCCTGTTTTCCAAGAGAAGCTGGTAATTGGATCTAGTATCAAGCTTCACACCCCTGTTAGGAGAGTCTTGACACACAAATGTTTTCTCTTGCCCTCTCCTCCCCAGATACCTCTTTGCTTTTGCTTTGGTAGCTCATGAGTGAGGAGATATGTAGAATGAAAGGTTGGGAAGCCCAGTGTTTCCTCTGGGTGACTGACTGGCTTTCATCCCCTTCACCTCTTCTGTTCCAGTCAAGCTTAGGAAGTACGGCCTTGTCTTCTTCCCACCCAGCTCTCTTTCTGGGAGATCATGCTGCCAAAGACTTTTTGCTGCCTCGTGGTAGCACTGTGTCTCATGTCAGTCAGGGTATTTTGTACCCAGGAGTGCTAGCTAAAATAAACTCAGTGCAAACGAGTGGTACCTCAGTCCCAGATGGGAAGGGTGAAGGCTGTTGAATCACACCCCTGTTTTGGCATTGTATAGCTGAGCTTTCTGCTTGGGTTTTAGGGAGATGTGGGACAGAGAGCATGGCTGCTTGGAGGTAACAGCCCAGGACTGTGCAGCAGCAAGTGAGGTGCAGCTTCAGAAGGCAGGAGAAGGTGTGGCCTGGTTGGAGGAGGCAGGCCATGTGGGGAGGTCTGTAGCCTTGCTGCAGGGAATATCGATGGGCTCTTCTTTTCTTACTTTTTGGAGGCCTGACACAAAGGTCTGCAGTCAGTGGTGCCTCTGTGTGGGCTTCCCCTGCACTTGAGGACATGCTGGTCTTTGAAATGCTCTGGTCTGTGTGACGATACTGGAATAGTGCCAAAACCAGGGGGCTGATCTAGGCCTGAGCAGTAGTCCTTCGCAGTCCTCCAGCAGCAATCATGGGCCTGTGCCCTCCATTTCTGTGCAGACACACCTTGCTGGCTATGTTGTATCTGCCACCAGAGACACGTTCCCAGGATGGGCTGCTGAGTTTGTGCTCTGGACTAGCCTGGGGTATTTTTCAGCTAGGAACGCTTGGTAGGGTGCTGGGCTGGGGGCTTGGCTGATCTCACACACTGCCAACGCCTGGCAGAGGGAGACAGGGCAGGTCAGGACCGTGCTGTGTCCCTGCCAGGTAGGGAAGGAACAGTGCCACATCCTGCTGGGTAGCAGAGATGAGTGAGCTGTGAGAACATCTTTACACCTGCGAACAATGAGCAGAGGTTGAGTTGGGAACAAGCAGCTATTCTCATTGCCCCAGAGGAGCTGAGCTGATTTGCAGTGTAATTAATATGCATCAGATCTAGAAACCTGAGATCAGAGTTTCAGCTTGCTCAAAAAATATCTTTCCCTGCTTCATTATTGCTCCTTAATGAAATTCTTTGCAGCTGTGGAGAGTGTGTTTGCTACTGACAGCGTACCTCCTCCTTTTTATTTACTTTTAAAGCTCAGTGTTTCTAGTTTTGTACCTGGGGTTTGTTGGCCAAGCAGGAGGAGGAGGCATGCAGAAGTGTGCATCAGCAGCAGAGATGTTAATGCAGGCAGGCGCTCTCTCCAAAACCACTGAGGAGAAGCCAGGAGGATCACGCCCACCTAAAAATAAACATTAACATATGTACAGGCCTTTATGAGCCCAATCACTGCTGGATACCAGATCTCCACAGACTCCTGCCCAGAGATGGTGCAACAGTCTGCTAGGGAGCAGCCTTGCTTCCTGGCATTATAGGAAAGGTGCAGCTTTTGCTGCTGCTCACAGATTTCCAGGACCTTTGTGTAATGGAAGGCACCACCAAGATGAGATGCTGAGCCTGTGTGTGCTTTAACAGCTAGTTGTGGTGCTAATGCAGCTGCACGCAGGAAAATACAGACTCTTAGTCCGTATCAGGAAGTTTAGGGTGCTGTAGGACAGAGTGTGGAAACAAGAATTATGACTGCAAGGGCATTTCTCTGCCTTGTGTTCTTTGCCATGATGCCTGCTGGGCTCAGGACTGATGTGGTTTGTTTCCATTTTGAAGAGCCAAGATGGAAAAGATGGTAGGCGGAAGGAGAGGCAGCGTGGGGGTTTGCACTCCCACACCCTCTGCAGTAAATGTGTTCAGGGCTTGTTAAGTCACGCAGCAAATAAAACCCATGGGTCCTAACCTGAGAAACTGAGGCATCGTTTCTGGTTTGGATGTGCTGACCTCGCTCAGGTTAACTGCTTTGCTGTTGCATACTGCTGCATAGCTGAGCCCAGCTGCCTCCTGGAAATGGACAGTTTTCATGTATGCATTTCCCAGCGTGGGGATCACAGAGACACTGCAAGGTGGGGGGGCGTTGTGCTGGCAAGTCCTGAGCATGGACCTGGAGAAGGCTGACGGGGAGGGAGCAGGGGGAGGCATTGGTTAGTGCGGGACAGCGCTGGCAGATCTCTCCTATCCCCAGCCACATGCTGTCTGGGTATATATGGGATGTGTAGCGTGTGGCTCATTGGTGCCAGGGGATCATCCCCTTAGCTGGAGTAGGAAGGAAATAGTACAGGTCAGGGAAAAGTACCTTAGCATGTGTGGAGAAGCTGATGGTTCCTGCTTGTACTGGCTGTGAAACAAGGCAACACTGGCAGTTAATACATATTGGTGGGAATAAAATTCTCCCGAAGTTGGAGATCCCTGACTTCTGTTTGCACATCAGTGGGAGATGTCTACTCCAGATGTGCACTCAGAGTGCCATTGATCCTGACATCAGAGCAGAAGGCCTGAATGTAGAACAGGGCTTGAAACTCCTGGCTTGGTCACTGGTAGCAGCACACAGCTGTCTGTCTCTGTGCCAATGCTCCAGCCTTTTTGTCTTTCAACTATGAAGTCCCCATAAGGGAATTAGGAAAAAGATGCTTCTGCCTACCAACATGCTCCTCTTACTTAGGGGGTTGTAAAGCTCCCTGGAACTAGAAACAGGAATAAAAGCATCAGGGTTGTGCAGCTTCTTCGCATCTTCTAGGTTTGGGGAATATTTATATTTATATGTAAAAGAGATTTAAATTGGCATAGGTTGGGGGCATATCCAGATGGTCCTATTTAAACACAGGCTGATAAGGGACTACTGAGAAGTTTGCTAGATACATATTTTGCTCAGGAATTATCCCCTAACAGCACTTGTAATAAAGAAGCAGCAATGGCATTCGGCTGTTGATGTTGACAAACTGCTGTGGTGAATGGGGAGTGGAAGTGTTGGTGGAGGTGTTCGCTCCTTCTCCCCAGTGGGGCAGTTTAAGCTGAATTCAGTGTCTGGGTAAGTGGCTCCCGAGAAGACTGGTGTTTGCTGCTCTCTGCTGGTTTGTGAGGGGATGATGTGCTGTTAGTGATTCTGGCCCTTGAGTACACAGAAGCTGGGCAACAATAAAATCATGCTTGGGCTCAGAAACGGGTGATAGAGAGAAGCCTCAAGTCTGACTCAGAACCAGATAATAAAGGAGATGCATGGCCATTTCTGTCCCGGGAGAGAGGGCAGCAGCAGGGAGCAGAGCATACAGCAAGGAACATTTAATAGCCTTTTTCTGAATTAGCCTCACTTACTGAATTGGCTCTGGTAGGAGTCGTGTCTAAGAAATGTGTTGCCCGAGTGCCAAATCTGGGGCTCATATTGCACTAAAACATTTTTTCTGTTTTTTTCACCAGCATCGGCAGCTGCTGAAGGACAGTTTCATGGTGGAGCTGGTTGAGGGGGCTCGCAAGCTACGTCATGTCTTTCTTTTTACCGATCTATTCCTGTGTGCCAAGCTCAAGAAGCAGATTGGAGGGTGAGGTTTTCCTTCTGGACTGTGTGCTTTGCACCTCGGCTTCAGCAGAATCCTGGGTTCAGCCAGCAGTTTTACTTGAATTATGAATACCCCAGACCTGGGTAACCATAATCCACAAGATGTAGTTAGACAAGGAGTGATCAGCAAGGTAGTATGTGAAACCTTAGCTAAGTCCTGATCCCTTAGGAAAGGTTAATTTCTCCCACTCCTGCCCTGAGCTTTCCTAAGAAAATAGGATGTGCTGTAGCTGCTGTTATTCTGGACGAATGCCGTTCATTTTTCCACTTCCTCTTTCTTTTAATATGTGACATTCTTCACTTTCTTTTGTTACTGTGGTTATTAATTCTGGCTCTGCAGCTACAGCCAGTTAACAGTTTTGCAGAAAAATGGCAAAGATACAATAAACAGGCTATGTATCAACCTATGTGATCAAATGTGTATCAAACTATGTGCAGCTATACAAACAGTTTTGTTGCCGTTTTTCACAAATGAGTGAGAAGAAACCTTTGCCAACATACCTGCCTCAGAGAGGGCTTCTCTTCATTTGGTAAATGTTCTTGCCCTCCTCAAGCAAAAAGTTGTCTGTGCCCCTTTTGAAGCTTGTGCTTGTGAGGAATGAACCTTCAAAAGAGTGAGTCATTCCCAGAGTGGATGTTCCTGACAGTAGAGGTGGAGATGGAATAAACCCCATGAAACATTAAAAAATGAACTGATTATCCTGGTGAAATCACTGCAGAATGGCAGTTATGAGCTGTAGTTTCTCTCTGTCGCTTGGATTATACAGAGGTTTATACATACTGGCTCAGGTCTGCCCCACTTGTTCCTCCTAGTTCAGGCAGGAGAGACCTGGGTTTAGATTCCAGGTAGCCAGGTCAGAGGCATGGCATGGCTTTTGAACTTTGCCTTGGCAGGGGCTTCAGAGAGAGAGCACGTGGGACTGAAACAGTTTGTGAAGGATTGGTATGGTTTCTTAGGATGAAAAGAACTAGATAACAAAACAAGTTGCCTTGTCACATGCTGTGCTGCCTGTGGGACCTTCTAGGCTTTCTTGCTGGAAAGCAGCCCTTTGCCAGACTTTTTCCATATGGGAGTCACAGTCAAGTTGACCCCAATTCTGTATCTTATGCACTGTAGCAGGGAAGGATTTGTGGGAAAGGGGAGTGGGTGTTGCCAAACACCAGTAATAGTAAAAGGTTTGGACCTTCTGTCTTTCAGAAAAAGCCAGCAATATGACTGCAAATGGTACATCCCACTCACTGACCTTAGTTTCCAAATGGTGGATGAGTCTGAGGCAGTGCCCAATATCCCACTGGTACCTGATGAGGAACTGGATGCCATGAAGATCAAGATATCCCAGATCAAGAATGACATCCAGCGTGAGAAGGTAAAAGGGGTTGAGCACTGCATGCCAAGTACAGGCTCGGTGTCTCTGCTGAGATGAGGTGCTGACAGAAGCAGCATTCCCAGAGGTGCACGACATGGAGAGTTATGCTGAAACAGACTGCTCAGCAGAGGCCTGTGGTGCAGCTCTGTTATCAGTGATATCCAGATGCTCTGCAGCTCATCATTGCTCATACTAGTGCATGGCTTGAATTATGGTGTCCTGTGAGGAGGCGGAAACAACAACACAGTGTAGGTGTACCCAGTAGCTCCTCTCTTGCATGGAACTGCCTGTGACTGCTATCCCTGAGCATCCGTGTGGCGGGCAGGGCTCTTATGCTGCGGACATGAGAAGGACTGAGTGTGGCTGATTTCTGGTGTTAAAGTATGATACTGCCAAGTGGTTTTGGTCAGAAGCCATGTGCTTCTGAAGTTTCACAAGCTCAGTTATGCTTTTGAAGCTTTTTCTGACTTCATCAGTGTCAAAGCTCCAGCAAATATATGGAGAACACCAGTTATGTTGACTGGACAGTCTGACACAGATATGGTGTCTCTGGTCCAGGCTTCTCTGCTTGCAAGACGTGTTTTCTCAGAGGTGTTAGAGTCCAAACCTTCCTGGAACCTAAAAGACAAATAAGAGTTTGAAAGCCAAAAGCCTGCTGGTGTGTAGAACAGGATATGAATAAGATTGCTTGTACTGTGAGAAGACTGTCCTTCGCACTTTCAAAGAACATTCTTCTGCCTCTCTGCCCTGACTGGCTTTCAGAGAGGGTCTCCTGGAAAAAAAAGATATTGGGAGGAACACAGTGTGGAAGCCTCTTACTCACAGGGTGCAGGTGTCTAAGATACATGCTTTGGTGCATCAGTGCTGAACAATACACACGGCTGGGTTTGGGACTGGGTTTTATCCAAGAAAAACCTTGGTTTCGGCCGACCTCTGTTGAAAACGGATTGGTGGGTGGTTAGCAGGAGAGAATTTTGGCAACAGAGTTCTGGGTATCTTCTAGAGAAATTCCTTATAGTCACCTTAGTTAAGGATGTCTGTGGAGGTCCCAGCAGTGCTATGACTGCTCAGTGACGTGATGCTGCTGCAGCCCCTGGAACAGAAAGTTCAGAGTATAGCTGGGATAGTGGCCCAGTTCTGCACCTTCATCTGGGGCAGCTGGAATTGGGGAACAGAGCCAAGCCTGAGTGTAGAGATACTGCAGGCAACATCTTCCTGAGCATCTGGGAGCCCTGTGGATCTTGACAGCATTTGTCCTGCCTGGGGCCATTTGGCTAGCCAGAGAGAAGGGACTGTGTATCTTAAAATGTCTGTCAGCATAAATGGAGGCAGACATTGGAGGATGACATGTGTCCTCTGTCTCCCTCTCTCCTCTACCCTTCAGAGGGCCAATAAAGGCAGCAAGGTCATTGAGAGGTTGAAAAAGAAGCTCTCGGAGCAGGAATCCCTCCTACTGCTGATGTCACCCAACATGGCCTTCCGGGTACACAATCGCAACGGCAAGGTGAGTGGCTCTTCTGGTGTCCCTCAGTGTACAGCACAGAGATCAAGGGGAGGGGGGAGTGTCTATGTGTGCTGTTGTACAAGGAGGTGTTGCAGACCAGCAGCAGACACCTAACCTGTGCTATACCAAAGGTATGATGACATCTTATTAGGCTATGACTGATTTGTATGCAACACTGGCATTTAAAAAATGATGCTGGAAATTAATCCTCTACTTCAGCACCTGCCCTGGCAGAGCATAGGAATGGCTCTCTTCACCTAAAATAAAGCTCTGCAGCAGCTGCCTTCTAGACTCAAGTCTAAGGCTTAGTGCACTCAGGGCTGCCTCCTCAGGACTGTAAGGCTGCCCTTGGCACCAGGGGTGCTGAAGGGTTGTGAACAGTCTCCTTCAGCGCTGTGGGATGCTCAGTGTGCCAGAGGTATCCCCTGCTCTGGCCGTAACCTGTCACTGTGGCCTTCCCATGCACATGGCAAGGATTCTCACAAGATCCTGTTACCACTCAGTGAAAATCCACAAGCTGGGCACTGCTTCCTCAGCTTGCGTCGTGTCCAGGCCTGTGCTGGAGGCTTTTGGGTTTCCCATCGTGAGGAATAGCCCAGAGCTGCCATGGGACCTCATGCTGCTGTGGAGGCAGCTGCTGTTTGCAGGGTGGAGCTCTGCGAAAGCTCTGACTGCAGGAGTTCAGGCTGGTGCTGCTGGCACATGGCTGAGAAGGCACGTGTCCAGAGTCCTGCCTGGCACTGACAAACCTGTGGTGTAGGGCAACTGGCAGGAGTGCTAGGACGGTATATCCAATAATTTCCACTGGAGGGGGGTGGGAGGCAGGCGGGCAGGCCTGCTCTCAGTGGTCGGTCAGACTAATGCATACTCCATTTTCTTCTGTTTTCCTGAGCAGAGTTACACGTTCCTCATTTCATCGGATTATGAAAGGGCAGAGTGGAGGGAGAACATCCGGGAGCAGCAGAAGAAATGTGAGTGTCCCTCAGCTGGGCATTGGTACAAATACTGTGATCTTATTAGAGAGCAGGATTCCAGAGGATGAGGTGTGGGGCAGGGTTCCCTGCAAAGAAAGATATGTGTTGAAATCCAGAGCACATATGGATGTTTTCTGTCTCTGCACCTGTCTGAGGGCATGCAGCAACATGTTGGGAATGTGTAGGGAGACCACTTAGTAATTGTGTGGAGAAATTCTTCCATTTACCCCGGAGATCAGAGCTCTGTGCAATCCCAGGTAGAGGGAACAGCTGCACCCTTTTACCTGGATCCAGTCCAAAGAAACTTAGTTACTTTTTTGACATGGGTGGTTTTTTGGCTTTGCAAGAAAATAAGGCCCCCCCCCTTGTTTCCTGTGAACCATCCTGAGACTTTTTAACTCCAAAGAGTGAGCAAATATGCCCTCAATAGAGCCAGGTTCCAGCAGCAGTTCAGACCTGGGCACTGTGCTGCAGTTGCTGAGCATTGCCCAAGGAGCAGCTATCCCTTGTGTGCAGCCAGCCTCTGCTTTAACTCCATCTTCTTTGAATCTCCTTGGCAGGCTTTAAAAGCTTCTCCCTCACATCAGTGGAGCTCCAGATGCTGACAAACTCCTGTGTGAAGCTTCAGACAGTCCACAACATTCCCCTCACTATCAATAAGGAAGGTGAGACCTTTGGTTTAAGCTTTCACATGGTACAGCTGCAGTGAAAACCTACCCCTGCCTGCCTTTGTGCATTTCCCCTAGAACTGCTCTTACTGTTTTTGCTACAGGCTTCGACCTGGTGATGAGTTACAAACTGAGAGTCCCTGTAAAACAAAATCTGAGACCATATGTACCCAACTTTTGTAGTTTAGTTGAAGTAAATGATAGCATACAAAGAGAGCAACAGAAACAAGAATAATTTTTCATGCCAGTGTTACTTGCTGCAACAGTAAAAATACAAGCCTCAAATTATATGGCTTCATCTAAACGAGTAAAATATTCCTGGACATATTCCAATATATATTCATTGACTATTAAATGGTCTTTACATGCAGTCATCATGCCAGGGATTGTTGTGCCTGTTGGAGTCCTAACCTGGGACAACTTGGAATGATGCCTGAGAATCCTTTGGAAGGACACTAGTTGTCCAAAACTGTGTCAGAGGCCATCCTAAATTACTATTTAATCTGCTAGTATAGACTTAGCCTCTATATTTTACTTTTTCTGCTTTTGAATTTCTTCCATGCTGTCTTGCTGACCCTAGAAGTGTCACTGTAAAAGCCATGCACTGCCAGAAGGCATTACAGGTGAACCCAACACTGAACCTGGAACAGTCTCCTTTCTTGCTGAAATGGCTAGGCTGTGTGCTCCTGCCATCTTTTTTAGGGACAGTTTACCCTCTGCTCATTAACCTGTGTAATATCAATGTCATCACTCTGTCTTTCACTCTTGGCTCCTCTATGAACGTAACAAAATTCCTTGGGTCTTCTGTACAGATGATGAATCCCCAGGTCTCTATGGATTCCTGAACGTCATTGTCCACTCTGCCACAGGATTCAAGCAAAGTTCAAGTGAGTTGCAGTTCTGCAATACACAGAGGTATTGATAGGGGTTAGGTAATTCAGGTGCTGTGACAGCTCGGTGTGAACTGGTTTAGGATTGCAGCATTTGGGGTGATGGTGAGGAGGAGAGGTGATTTGGGGAACTGGACATGAAATGGGGGTATTGGTGTAAATTTAGGGGAGTGCAGTATTTTAATGCTCAGTTAACTCTCAGAAAGATCAGAATCAAGCATGCAGCTTTATTTTTTAAGGCGTTGTGGTGGGTTTTTTAAGCAGTGTTTGCTAATTACCAAACAGTTTTAGATACAAGTCAGCCCGTATCCTGAACTCTTTCAACTGTATTTCATTTTGCAATGAAAGAATGGAAGGCATTCTCTGACATCCAGAATTACTGGTGTGAAGAAAGAGGTGTTAAAATTCAGGGGAGTGATGTGACAGAAGGATCAAAAAAGGTGAAAAAATAGTGAAGAGGACACCTGTAGAAATAAACTGCTTTTCAGTTGTTGATGAAGATAATCTAGGAAAAGCTGCAAAGCTTTCCTAGGCATGTGGCTGGGGAGCCTGTTCTTACCTAAGCTGCACCTGCAGCCTCGGGAGGAAAGGAGTGGACTGTCCGTGCTTTCTGTTAACCTTCCTCCTGCTGGGCCGCTGGCTTCACTTACAACATAACCTACAAACAGGGACAATGTCTGCAGCTCACTACTAGCTCTTCAGAAGCACCAGAAACCACATAATTAAGCAATTTATGAAGATAATGAGGTTTTGATGGCTTGCTCCTACCCTGTTCTCTGAGGGATGTTATACTGATGCTGTTAAACGTGAAACAGGTTCTAACGTGTTGATGGGGGCCAGTATCTACCTGGGGATGTTTCATTTCTCATTGGTGTGCACCTTCTGCTCACTGTGGATTGTTTTGGGAAATATTGGATATAGCATACACCTGATTCTTGGTAGAGGTGAAGGGCTTGTCTATGCTGAATCGTTTATACAGCTGTGCTGGTACTTCAGCTTCATAAAGGCAACTTTGCTGGCCCAGATGATGAGATTTGTGCTGGATAGTGTTGCTGGTACTAATACAAAGAAGATGCAAATGAAGACATGCTCTGAAAGTAATTAATGCAAGTTAGGAGAGTCTAGAAATTTTCAAAACTTTCTGTCCCTGTCTCCCCTGCTCAGATCTGTACTGCACATTAGAGGTGGATTCTTTTGGGTATTTTGTGAACAAGGCTAAAACTAGAGTTTACAGAGACACCACGGAGCCCAACTGGAATGAGGTAGGTTGGATTTTTCTTAACGGGACTTGTTCTATCTGCCAAACATCAGTGCATGGTGGGCAGAAAGCTCGCAAGAGGAAAAACCTGCTGCATCCTCAGTCGTGCATATGCTGCCTCTCAGAAAACACTTTTATGCCAGGTTCATTTGGCTGTCCGGGCTTGCAGATTTTATCTGGAATTAGCTACAGTTAAACAAACGTTTCAGTACAAATGAGTCTTGTCCAGCATTTCATCATTTAAACAGATGCATGTTTGATTTTTTTTTTTTTCTTAAAGACAAATGAAAGTATGTTGAAGAAGGAGGTGGATTTGTTTATTTGTTGTGAGGGGGAAGAATTAGCGATAGACATTTTGCCTATTTACAGCCAACTCAAACCTGCTGGGGAGCAAAATTAAATACAAGGAAGGTGGGCGAGTTTGTTTCTCTGAATGATGCTTTGCTGAAACTCAGTGGAACCCGACTGAGGAGTCCACCATCTTAGTCTCTGATTTGGCCCCACTATATGTACAAAATAGAATTGCGGTTTATTTCTAGACCAGCTCTGTTAGGGAGGAGTTTTTGGTCAGTCCTTACATACTCCCTCCTGATGAGTTTTAAGGAGGCTGGATTGATTATGAGGAGAACAGTGTCCTGCTGTGATGTATTCATTGCTCTTTCCTTTCCTGGTGCCCTGCAGGAGTTTGAGATTGAGCTGGAAGGCTCGCAGACTCTGCGGATTCTGTGCTATGAAAAGTGCTACAACAAAACCAAGCTCACCAAAGAGGATGGAGAGAGCACAGATCGCATAATGGGGAAAGGACAAGTCCAGGTAAGACTGCGCTTAACTCATTCCTGCCACCCTTACTGCAAAACATAACAGGACTTTTGAATCCTGGAGTGCATCAGGGAGGTTTTTTCCTGCCTTCTGATTGTCTCAGCATTAGAGATTTTTCTCCAGATTGAGGTATACAGTGTGGTTCACAGGTGGGAAGTCAACAGCTTTTTCCCTCTTGCCTTGTCCCCTATGCTTACTTCAGTATCCTTATGGAACAGATGCTTTTTCATGAAAATTTACATTTCAATCTCTGATTTGCCTGTTAACTTCAAAACTTCCAGCACAGTATATAGTAACTGCACTGTCACTGAGCCCCGAGCACTGTTGAGAATGCTCCATTTGTGACAAAAGAGGAAGCAATGAATATACTATCTCCCCTCAGTAAATCATGTGGAAGAAATGCTGCCTTCTGTACGTGCAGGAAGCTGATTGATGTGATAGCAGGGCCTTGGCTTATTGTTCTGATAACTGCCACGTCCAGAGCATAGTGTCCATGACAGCAGGCTGCCTCTGAGAGACATTTCCAGCGCTGAGAATCAGCATGGGACGCTTTGTCTATGTGGCAAATTTGTAATACAATAGGGGAGGTGATGGGACGATTGCAAACGGATGCTGCTCTCCAGGAGCCGCTGTGTGATAAAGCCTTAAAGCTCCATGCAGGAGAAATCAGGCCATCAGTGGAGGTCGACTAGGAGAACATATGTTCCCCCTCTTCTTCCAGTTTGTTGCACTGTCTGTCCACGGCTTTAGGAGGGTGTTTAAATGCTTGCTCTGAGGACACATTCTTTGTGTTGGACTGGCAGTTGTAGAGAGCAGAGACCCTGCCCAGGCATGCTGAAAAATACCACCAGTTCTCCTTCCTTGACGTTTCACCCTTCATCACGCCATGGATGACAGCTTTCTCCAACGTCTGAGTGAAGGTCACACAGGTCAAGGCCATTTGTGGGATTTCAGAAACAGCTCTGAGAGTGCCTGCAGGATCATATCTCACCTTTACTCTAGGAGGGTTCATTGTCTGAATGAGATTCATTAGGCCTGTTCCTTTCCCTCCCTCTTTGCAGCCCTGAGGCTGCCATACTGTTTCAGGGAAAGCTTTTGTTGCCAAACAAAGAGAACTTGTGTACAAATCAATAAATGCTAGTACAGGGTGCCTCCTATGTATGTGTCTCGGGCTAACCAGAAATGTGTACGTCCCTTCTGCTAACAAAAGCTTATCTTCCTTCCATGGAGTTGAGCAACTACAAAAGAGCAAGTTTTCAGCCCTGAAATGCCCCGGAGATTTGTGTGTTTATAATGGAAAACCCTGAAATCACTGACCCTCTAAATTTTTCAAATATTTTACATAGAGTAATTAAAAAATCAGTAAAATATTTTAAATTTTTTAACCACTTATTTTCACAAGAATGGGCATTTTTATGCACAGTACTTATACATTCTGTTAAAACATTTTATACTTAATAAGTAAAAATACTCTTTGGTGACACTTGAATATTGCATCTTGATTCTTTTAGAGAAACCTAAACAGTGGAAAGTGGAAAAAAAAAATTTTTTTGATGAATGTGAAAAAGTTGCATTCTGTTGTATAACAAAAAGACAAATGTGAAAGTTTTCTTGCTTGCGGTAAATCCCCCTTGCAATTTGTAAAGACACTCGGTGAACTCTGAGAACATCCTCATAACTCTGTGATTTCTGTCCCATCACACAACTATTTAACATTGGGGAATAATGCAAATAGAACTCATAAGAGAATCTGGTAAGATTCTGGGTTGATAAGAATTATTAAGGGTTTTTATTTTGGTTTAGGTTTATTTTTAAAGCAAACACCTTTTTCAAATCCTAATAATGCGACAACAAAATCAAATACAATCTGTGGCTGAAGGTTACCTGTATTAATGCTGTCAGCATCTTTGCCAGTCACTGGTTTCATACTCATTTTCTTCCAGGATTTTCCCAGGTGCCTTTACATTAAATTTTGTTAACTTTACAGTTGCTAGTGTATCTAGGGCTTTCTGCTTTGTTGTTGCTGTCATTGCATTGTCATTATTCAGCCAAAGTCTGCCTTGTGTAAAGGTAAGGTCTGTGAAGTTGGATGAGATTTTTTTTCCTAAATTCTCTTTAGCTAAATACTCTGGGAACATGAAGAGTCATGTCTGCATCCTCCTGCTGATGAAAACAGGGAAATTTCTGTGTTGGCTAAATTGCAATGTATTGTTAAGCCATGTATTATTGTAAATCTGCAGCTTCCCACTGCTGGGATTTTTGACTCACCAAATTCTCTGAGCTGCAGTGATAAAGACAATACATCAAGGAGACGAGGACTGTTTTGGCTGTGAAATGTTTATTAAATCTCTCCGTTACATAATGGCACTGGAGGAAGGAAGACTGGAAATTGGTCAGAAGCTTCCAGGAATGGGCAGGAATTTTAATAGCTCCCATTGCTCATATTTTCTTTTCCTATGGAATATTTTATTTACCTCTTTTTATAGCTACATGCAAGAGCTTCATTGCTTGCCAACCTGCAAGTTTTATCACTGAAAAATAAAACCATGAGGTTTTAATATGGGAGAACCTCCTGTAAATATAGAAGTGAAATCCTCATCAGACTTTCTGGGAATGGCAGCACTGGATGTGCAGTCTTTAGCCAGCATGCACGGCTGGAGGCTTCTGTTACATCTTGGGCATGAGAAATAAAGGGAGAAGGTGCCATTCCTGGGTAACAGTGAAACTGAAATTACATGGGGACTTGGGGGAGGAAGAAATGGACATCGTCTTATAGGAGGAAACATGAGTCTTAGTTCACTTGTAAGCATCAGCTCTTCTCATGTTGAACTCTGTTTGTAATTTTGTTTTCCTTTCTCTTGTTACCTCTTGTGAGGCTGGCCCTTCCACTCTTTGAATTTTGCACTTCATGTGTCAAGCACATCCACAGATTGAGTGTAGCAGCCTTTTGTTTGGTCCTGACACTCTGCATCTAAGTGGGCACATATGTCAGCAAAGCTGGCCTCTGCGTTGGGAACAGACTGCCCGAGTAAACTGATACTTCATCCTGTGATGTGTCTCCTCCAGTCGGTGCCTCCTAGAAATGCTGTTTCCTTTGTTGTTTTTTCTTCTGCATGATCAGCTCAGGCAAACCATTTCCTTCTCTCTCACAGCAGTGCTGGAAAACCAGAGAGGATGTGACCTTAGATCAGTCATTCTGTGGTAGCAGTGCAACACCATTCCTCTGCTGCCATGCAAAACAATCACTCTTATCTGCTTAATTATCTGGGATGTCTCATAGCAGTGCACATGGCTATTTCAGACATCTAGGTTGTTTTCCATGTAAAACAGATGCTGTACCTCCCAAGTGTCAACTCAGAAAACCTTTTACACACTCAACTTCATTTAAACAGTTTGCTCGTGCAGAACAGTATCCCAGCAATGAAAATAGGGTGGAAATGGAGAAGGCAATGGGTCATGTCTAAAGGGTGATGGTGGGAAAGATTAACATGTCAGTGGGGAGCTTTGAGAAGAATGGGGTTATGGCTGGACTGGGAGTTTTCAGCAGCAGTGAGACTCTGACAACATGTATGTCACATCAGTTACAATTAAAAATTGATGGAGTGTAAAGTTGCCAGGGAGATTTAATAAAGGGAGGAAGTAATGTGAATAAATAGCATAAAACGCACTAACCTTAAGGTTGCCTCAGTCCTTGCTCCCAGACATTTCTACTGATGCTTCTTCGGGTTTTTTCTCTTCCTGTATGTTTTCTCTTCTGGTGTAAAAGAATAATCATCAGGCTCTCTTTGGCGGTTTCCTAAGGCAGAGCACAGACACCCTCCTTGGCTTGCATTTCCATTGACCAGCATGCTCAGTTGGCCTTTCTCCCTGGTCCTCACCACTCTGTGTTCTGCACACTCAGCTACACCCAACTGCTGTACGCTAATTGTCTGTCTTGATTTAGCTAAGCTGCTACCAGGGCCAGAGATTTGCACTCAGAAATCCCTGTGGTGCTGCGATGCTTTGGTTTTTTGTGTTTTGTGCAGAATAGAGAGGCATTTGCTTGATTTATTAGTGAATTTGGGGCTGTAGCTTGCTGCTGTAAGTGCCAAGGAACAGGCCATAAGGGGACTGGAAGTGCTGGGGGAGTAAAGACAAACTTGTATTTTTCCTGTGCAGCATGTGCTTTTGGTGGGGACTGTGTACCCAAGCCTGTGGGATACAGTCTTTGAGGGTTTTAGCAGGTCTGTCCTATTTGCATAGGTCATGGAAACAACACAATTTTTCACTGTTTCAGTGGAGATGGGACAGGTCCTTTTGTCACTCAAACCAAGCAATTGTTTGAAGGAAATGGTTAGAGGTGCAGTAAATTTCACTGTCAAATTACTGCAGAGGCAGCCATTTCACAGTGCCTCCCCCTGCTTGAGCTGGCAAAGTGAGAGCTGTGTGCCTGCTCGCTCAGAGCAGCCTTCTTTTGGCACACTGTCTGTAGATTGCGTTATTCTACTCAGTGTTCCTTCTTCCAGGTCACTGATCTCCAAACCAGACCAGAAGACAGCACGACCCCATTTGTCACAGGCCCTCTCTATGCTGGAGCATCACACCCACTAACTCTCTTTGTCTTCAGTCTGTTTGTGCCCTGTCTGCTCCAGCTGCCCTTTCCCAGTCCTGCTCTTGCTGGCCTTAGAAGGTCAGTCAGTCGTCTGTAGGGTCCAGGACTGAAAGCTTGCTCAAAGTCTAAGTGACATTCTTAGCTTCCTGCTGACTTGTTATTTCTTACGGTGACTTTATCAGACTGTTAGACCTGATCTTCCTGTCTGTGTTGCTGAGAGCTTATTCAAGCTTTGCTCTTTTATTAGCTTTCATCATTTTGCTTTGTTATTTAAAAGGGGGGGGGGGATTTTTTGTTTTTAATTGCTGTTGTTATTGCCAGTGATTTATGCAGGGCTGGGTCTGGTCAGCCAGGCCCACTCCCTGGTGCTTGTTCTCCCTGTCTCTGCTCAATACAAGCTGTTCTCCAGCAGGAGTCAAACAGCAGGTGGGGAGTGTGGGGGTCCCACCAGCCCTGCAACAGAGTCCAGGGGGAAGGGAGCACGAGGTGGCAGCAGGTACACTCGCAGTAGTTACCCAGCAAGGAAGAGTCTCTGTGAGCTCTCAGCTCCAGCACACGGCTTCTGGTAGTCCTTTGCAGCCATATGATATTTTATAATATATAATATGATATATTGAGACAGAGTAGGACTTTGGCTTGTACTTATTATTAGCTATTTACTTGCTTTAATTTTGTACAGTGGTCATCACTGAGAGATAACCAATAATACCTGTTAGGTTAAATAAACTGTAATGGACCCTGCTGAACTCTAACTTTTTGGCATATGCTCAAAACCCTCTTTCCCCTTCAGTCTTAAGCAGCCTCTCCCTGCTATAAATAATACGCTCTCAGAGGCTCTGTTCTAAGTGCATAAGGAAAACGGCTTCTGAGCTGGAGGATGAGCTGTGGCTGTGTCTATCAGCAGGGCCATTTTGGCAGCTTAACAAGATGACTATTTAGGCAGCTGGAGATAGAGCTTTCAGGAATACTAAGCATGGTTGCTTGCTCTTCATAGGAAACCAGACACTTCAGAAATGGTTTCCTCTTGATTCTGGGAAAGAATGCAGTTGTTGAAAGAAACCAAACTTCCAGCACGGAAATTCAGGGAAGAACGACCTAGATTCTGGCCAGCTTGTAGGGACCTTGGCCAGCCACAGAGGCGGGGGCGGATCTGTTCCGCCAGAGTTATAAGCAAACCCTCCTGGCAAGCAGTGTGTTATTTGGGTTTGCTGAAGCTCTGAAGCTAAGCACGGCTGCCCACTGGCCTCCTGGACCTTTGTGCAGTCCCAGAATGTGGGAGCTACTGGTTACTGACTATTCCTTACAAGGGGTCTTCAGGAATTTCTGCCAGAGTTGCACCTACAGGAACCGATCCAATTCAACAGGAAAGCATGTGTGTGCTGGCAGCATCCCACTGTGGGCTCACGTCCGTAATAAAGTGCGCAGAGATAAGGTTGGCCTGACTTGCTTCTCTGTTGCTTCTTGGGGTTTCTGCAGTGTGAGCAAACAGGGAGGAATTTTTCTCTCTGCTGGTTGTCTTTTGGGGAGGGGGAAGGATGTAGGGGGACTTGTCTCGGTAGCTGTCAGCTGTATTGGGCTAGTTTGTTGATGATTTGAGAGTGTGAGCATGACTGCATTTGAAATCTCCCAGGATGTACTGCAGCTGCTGTTGTTTCAACATTTACCCCTGCCTGTCAGAGAACTGCTTTTGCATGGAACTCTGAGAGGGAGGAGCTGTGCTGCAGAAATAGCCCTGGTTATTGAGTGTCTCTTTGTTTGCTAACAACAGTAAACTCAAAACACAGGGTCTAGTGCAGTTGCCTCCTTCTGGTCTTACTGTGTCTCTGTTCAAGAGCCAAGTGTTACAAAGCCATCGCAGGAGGCACGGAAGCCTGCTTCCTTTGGCTGGTGCTGATTGCTGACACAAGTCCCCATGCAGACAGCTCTTTTCTCTTTTGCCAGTCTAGCTGGAGCAGAGTGCTGTTCTCCAGACGTTCAGATGAGTTTGGACTCTCTCAGGCGGTATTGGAATTGCTGCGGGATGTTTGAGTACTTGAGTCAGCTGCTCCCTAGCCTCACAACTGCCCACTCAAAGCAAAGCTGAAAACGGGAGATCAGGGCTTTGCTCCAGGACTTGTTTCTGCTTAATGAATTCTTGCAGTAGCGGGGCCGGGTGTTCTTCCTGCCACCATGTTTAAGTTGAAATGAAAAGGGATAGGCAGGTTGAAGTAAAATGACTTTCCATGATCTCTGGGCCGATTTTCTCTATTTCTTCTCTGTCAGGTCATGAGAGGGGTTTGGTTTGTTTAAAATTACTTGTGTCTATGTGGATCTCTTCCTTGATCTCACTGTTAGGGTCATTATGTCTTTTTTTCTTCAGTGGAACGTAGTCCTTCCTGGAAGCTATTAGCTTTGTAGGCAAGAGCTGTGAAGTTCTCCAGCCTGGCTTTGTATTTCAGTGCAGTAATTTCGCACTCATCCAACCTCACCTATCTCTAGAAAACTGCAGAGGGAGACAGTTTCCTATATTTCAAATCAGTTATTTCAGAAATTTCTTCTCCCCTTTTCTGACTCCTGGCCGTATGGAATGGGACAAATTTGGCTGTCTGTTAACGTGCCCATTGTGCCTCAGCCATGAATGCAGTCTGTCTTCCTATGAAAGCTGAGGTTATTGGGTTTCAAACATTGATTTTGCTCACTGAGGTTGCCTTTGTTGGTGAGCAGACACTGCACCCATGTTGCTGTATTTTCCGTGTGTGTGAGACCTCACTGGCCCTGCTTAGAGAACCACACAATATCTGAGTGTGCCATTACCCGAAACCTGGGAAACCTTGGAATGTGTGTTTTCCTGTGGAAAAGAAATAACATGCTGAAAGTGGTAGCGCCGTGCTCACTTGCAGAAGCCTTTCAGGATAGCTGATTTCTCTGTTCCTAGCTCATGGGTAACTTCTGTGTTTTTCAGCTGGACCCACAGGCATTGCAGGACAAAGATTGGCAACGCACAGTCATCTCAATGAATGGAGTAAGTATGGAAAACAGAAGTTAGCACTGCTTCTGTACCTCTTATGTGCTTTATTTCTTTGCTCTTCATTGCAGCATAGAAAAGAAAATGTTTGAAAGGTAACAGCTGTTCTCTTCTCTTCAGGTTGAAGTGAAGCTGTCGGTGAAGTTCACCAGTCGGGAGTTTAGCCTGAAAAGGATGCCGTCCCGGAAACAGACGGGGGTGTTCGGGGTCAAGATCGCTATTGTCACCAAGTGAGCTGATGGGTCACATTTCTCCCTGTTGTTTTTTGGAAAGCGAACTGGCCTGTGGGTTGCACCCACTGCGAGATTTGTTGGTCCAGTCTGCCCCACTCGGGTAGTAGTGTAGATGTCTGTGGCTGCAGAAAGGAGATGCTGTAAATTCTCTGAGCTGCTTTTTTTTTCAGGGGTAAAAACCAGTGTGCACACAGGCTTTGAAACCCGGGGTGTTTACTTCCCTGAGTTCCGGAAATACCCCTTACCCCTTTTCTCTGTAGTTAGCTGACTTGGTCAGATTCCCATAGCCGATGAACAGTGATGTTTCCTTTCCATAATCGGAAATGTTCAAGTTCTTTGGATCCTGTCATATTATTTTAACCCCTGATCTTTTGTCATGAATCGTTTGCCAAAGAAACCTGTTTGTTCTGTTATAGAGTTTGGGAAGTGTGGGACTTCCTCCCTATGGAACTGCATTAACTGGAAAGCAACAGCGTTGCTATGTATCCGAGGTCTGTTTGGGAATCCTCTGGTTACCTGTGTGGAGTCGCAGACTTTCAGGGCACTGGGATCCAGCCAGAAGCTCAAGTGCTCAGGGCAGCTGCAGAACAGCCAGATACAGGCTGAGACAGAGAACCCTCTCCAGTTTTAAATGGAGTGTTTCAGCTCAGTCTGGATTGCCAGCTCAGACTCTCTCCAACCCCATTTTCTAGATGAGTTTTGCACAGCAAAACATTGGGGTGATTTTAGCCAGCCCTAGCTGGCTGGGGTAACAAGCATGGAGAGCGTGGGCTGTACTGAACTCTTCTGTCTGGCTTTCTTAAGGAGAGAGAGATCGAAGGTGCCTTACATAGTGCGCCAGTGTGTGGAGGAGATAGAGCGGCGTGGGATGGAGGAGGTGGGCATCTACCGTGTCTCTGGGGTTGCAACCGATATCCAGGCTTTGAAAGCTGCCTTTGATGTCAGTAAGTATTTGTGTCTGATCTTTTCCTTTGCACTGTGAGAACCTGCATGAGCCCCCGATCAGGTGGCTATGCTGTTTTTAAACTTATGTTCCCCAAGAAGTATTAATAAGTAGAAATTCTCACACAAGAGTAATTTTAACCCTGGCTGCATGTTTTATGAATATTCTTCAGCTACAGATATAACCCAAGATGGGATGGATCCTTACATGAAATAGTGCATTTGTTGTTCTTCCCAGCACACATGAAATGGTGGGTTTGCCTGCCTTGCCAAATCTTTGTAAATGGCAGATGCCTTCCTCAGGGGAAGCGCAGCGATCGGAAGGTGTAATTTCCTCACAGTTTTGAGGTCTCCAAATTAATATAAGTCCCTGAAATTAAGAATGCTTTGTGAAAGGAAGGCAGCAAAAACAATGCAGGTTTACTAGGAAGGGTGTTTTCAAAACTGAAGTTGGTTGTCAGGGCTCCTGAGTTATCTTCTTAACTCTGTCTAGATTGGTGTGTGCAGATTGTAAAATTAGATAATTTTGACCAACCTTTGTAAAGCTTTCTTTGATCTTGGGTAGAAAAGGGCTCCTTACTGGTGCTGCATTTTAAAGAAGGTTATGTATGTCCCGAAAGACATCCAATATCAGGCAGATGAAACACCTCCAAGCTGCTGAGGTACAAAAAGTGAAATTCTGTCCTACTTCCAGCCTCCACATGATGGTCCAAGGACTGCTCAAACCACGCTTGGCTTCCTTTTGATGCAAGCAGTCATGAGGCCTGTGCCAGTTGCCCAAATTCACCCTCCCTGCACTTTTTCTTCATTTATTTTGTCAAAGTTCTTCCTTCTTGTATTTTCTTTTCAATCCCACTAAGCTACCAAATCTTTACTAGTGCAAGTAAGGGTGTTTCACATTTTGAAAAACAACTTTTTTCATTTATAATAAATGCTGTTTTAGACTAAGCTTCATGAAACCAGCACTGGCTCTGCTGGTTGTTCTGTTTGTTTTAGGGAAAGGGGGTGGTTTTGTTGTTCTTAATAGTAACAAAACTGAAATGTGAGCCCTGAATTGCCTGTGTACTTTAGCTACACTCAGTGGGGAGTTAGACAGCCTCCGAGTTTCTTACTCTAAACTGTTAGAGGCAGGGAATTGGAATAACAACAGTTGTCGCTAACAAAAGTTGAAATCCATATAAATACAGCCAAGCAGGGCTTGTACCAGAGAAGGCAGCGGTCGCTGGCACAGCATAACTAACCCTGAGTAGTGTGAGGTTCCCTCAACTTGATGTAAAGCTCTAAACTCTTTGCAGTTGTTTGTGCAGCACTTCTCAGTTGTCAGAAGGTAGCTCATTTCATCTGGAGCAATGTAAACAGGAAAACTCTCAGCTATTTGGGCAAAGACAAAGGATAAACAAAGAGACTCAAGGCAAGAAAAAGAACGGATGCAAGGCCAGCAGCTTCTTTACTCTGCTTCCCCTCTTCCCTGTTTCAGATAACAAAGATGTGTCAGTGATGATGAGCGAGATGGATGTTAATGCCATTGCAGGCACCTTGAAGCTGTACTTCCGGGAGCTGCCTGAACCCCTCTTCACAGACGAACTGTACCCCAACTTTGCTGAGGGCATTGGTAAGTAGTAGCAGAAATAACCCTTGGTAACCGAAACTGTTCTGTAGGAGGCTGCTCCTAAAGCAATACAAAACACATATTTAGTGTTGGACAGAAGCCTGGAGCAGGCTGTTAGGGAAGAGAAATGGAGCTCAGAAACGAGCACCGGAATGCTGACATCTTCCTATGCACTTGAAGATGGGCAATTGCTGTGCTTTTCTGTAAGCTGACAATGCCCAGGGTTCTGAAGGGAGGTAAAGAATGGACTGCCAGCCTGCTTGTTGAGGCTGTGTGTGCTGTTTGGCCCATTCGGCCTTCCGGGGACGTCCCCTTGGCGGGGGCGGGTGTACCTTGGCTTGGCTTGGTGTAGGGGAGAACCATCATAACGGTTGAAAATCTGAAAGAACAAGAACTGCTTGAGAGAAAAGGATTCTCTGTGTCTGTGACATAAAGAGGTCCTGTGGGGTATTGATGTGCAGCTCTGACCTTCCAGCCTATGGTGGAATTACAGTCTGTTTGGGACCATCCATATTTGTTCTTCTGGGAAATTTTACAGTCAGTCAAATTCTTGTTCACTGCCTGTGGTGATGTTTTGTTATTTTCTGTCTTGTAGCACTTTCAGATCCTGTTGCCAAGGAAAGCTGTATGTTGAATCTATTGTTATCGCTTCCAGAACCCAACCTTGTGACATTCCTTTTCCTTCTGGACCATTTAAAAAGGTAACTTGTGGATCCTTTAGACACCTATTTAATGTGTAAAGCATCATTGTTTTGGGAAGGGGAGCCTTTTCCTTGAATTTGTGCTGAATCACGCAAATGAAGAAGCATTACTTGTTACGAATGCTCATCAGACAACTGTTGGCTCATACTCACTTAGTGAGGCACTAAATCCTGAATCTATTCCCACTCATACTCAGGATTAGAAGTGGCGGAAAGGGCTAACAAAAGTCTTGGGGCTTATCTAGTGCAAATGCAAATCTCTGGTGTGATATCACTGCAAAACTGCACCTGCATCTGGAGACAAAGATCGGGAAAGGTTTTAGTATAAATTGTGAAGCTTTGGCCATGTTTAAGGACTTGTGAGCCCTGTCACGGAAGGTGTTTGCAATCTAATAGTGTATTTTTAAAAATTGCAGCTTTGCACATCTGGTGACTGGAGTTGTCAACTCCTTGCTTCGACTAGTCTTTCTGATCTTGTCTATGTCTTTGTAATACGGTTGTACCTGTGAAGGAGTATTTCCATGTGTTTGATAGTAATGCAGAAAGCTTGCTTAACACATGCACAATGTGTTAATTTACATACGTGTTTTGTACATACTAGAGGCTGTCACTGGAGAGATGAAAAATAATCTTGTGACTGAGGTTCTGGATTAAAATCCAGGAAATCTGGGTTTTACATGTGTTTCTGCTGCAGACTGGTCTGCTGTTGAGTAAATTTTTTAACCTTCATGCCAGTTTCTCATTTATAAAGCTGGGATGAAAACATTCCTTTATTCCTGTTCCACTTCTGCCTGGCCAGACAGTAGGCAGGAGTCCCTCTTCCGAGTTTAAATCATGTCTGTAGAGTCTGTGGAGACTGTGGTTGTGTCACATCAAGGTATTTGCTTATATATAAAGTTCATTTAGGCACATACAGCAAGTGGTTGATTGAGTGTATCTAAAATTTTTACAAAAGGAATAAATAAGGTTTCTTATTTAAGGACACTTCCAAACTCAGGTATTTATAAATATCTGCCTTGTTCTTTGTTTCTTCTGCCAGGGTTGCTGAGAGGGAAAGCGTTAACAAGATGTCCCTGCATAATCTTGCAACTGTCTTTGGACCAACCCTGCTCAGACCTTCAGAGAAGGACAGTAAAATCCCTGCTAACCCAACGCAGCCTATCACAATGACTGATAGCTGGTCGCTAGAAGTCATGTCCCAGGTAAAATCCTAAATGTGCCACTGGCTCTTGTGAAGGCAATATCTGGGAAATGGCCTGGTTCCGCCATCCGTTCGTGTTTTCCTGACAGGATTTTAAACAACTTTCACCCTTACACGGACATTTTAGACTGTTTATAGAACTGCATTTCTTCAGGCAATTCAGTTTGCATCTGTACAATACAGCTTCTCATGAAAAAACGTCAGGATGTGCACATTCTGTATCTTTCCTCTATACACTGTATTTAAACAAATACATAACTGCAAGATGTTCCTGTGGAGAGCTGTGGGCATGTCTGCCAACACTCAAATAGCCAGGATGAGGAGGAGTTAAAAGGGTGTTATTATTACCTCTTTCTTTCTTTCTTTTTTTTTCCAGGTTCAAGTTCTTCTGTACTTCCTGCAGCTAGAGACTATCCCTACCCCAGACAGCAAGAGGCAAAGCATTCTCTTTTCCACAGAGGTGTAGGTGCCTGGGACACCAACAGGACACAAAAAAACTGCTCTCGGCATAAATCTGCCACACCTGAGAACAAGACGACTGGTGTTTCTTCAGACATTGCTGGCCTGTCCCTGTCCTAGGGACTTACGGCCCTCAGTGCTTCTGCTGTGTGTTAACCAGAGACAAGCTGAGGAGAAAAATCCGTACTCTTGATTGGTAGGACCAGAACTGAACTGGAGATGGAGCTCTGCAGAATCTCCACTAGAAGGAGCAATAGACACTTGAACAAATGCACCACAGAGTGTGGCTATTATTCTTGTTGGGAATGTGACAGAAGGTATTCCTCATTTTATGGATTTAATTTATCATAAAGGAACTTCAAGATTTCTACTGGACCACTTGATAGGATACCCCTTTTTGGGTGAGGGGGAGTTAAAGGATATATCACAACTGTGTCTTTAATAACTGCTGTTTTTAAAGTACTGTTCTAGGCCACAAAACTAGCATTGCTTTGCAAGAGAAGGGAAGGGTCTGGGATCTAAGATTTCCTCCTCAGAAATTTGAACAGGGTTCTAAAGAAATGAAACAGTTTTGCATACAACTAGAACTGTTGGTTTGTTTGGGGGTTGGTTTTGTTGTTTTTTTTTTCTCATCCACCCTTTCCCTTGCAAATGTTTATACAGCTCTAGGGAAGGAGAGGCCCTGCTCTTACCTCTGCTGCACTTCTGGTGCGTTTTTTGGGGTTAAGGGAGCCAGACCCAGTGACATTACTACTATAGATAAGTAACAGCAAATTAAGGAGAGGCAGGGAGGATTAGCCAAGGATTCTGTTTGAGATTGCGTTGTTTGCATATAAAAAGCAGGGCCAATATTATCCAGGCAGGATTGCCAAATTCCTTAGACCCCACCAAACTTAATGAAAATTAATTGGGAAGACTGTTAATTCCCAACACTCTGAAAAAAAGACATTATCACTGCAAAAATAATTAAAGCATTTGTGGACAAAAAAAAAAGAAAAATTCGATGGCTGTCAGTTTGGCTGGTTGCTCACTCCAAACTTTTATCAAAACATCTTTTTTTGATACTTGAATTTTTGGAGGCTTTGTATGTTGCTTCTACAAGAGTCTTTTTCTGATAGACACAAATACTTGGATAAAATGTATCAATGTACTTTATGGACAATCTCACAAGTAGCATGCATTGTGTATTCTCTAGAAATTCCAACCCTATTTTAAATAAGAGCAGTGAAGAAATGTCTCTGGAACTACATACAGCAGTACAGAAGGTCTTGCCAAGTACAACCTTGGTGTTTCCCTGCCTCAGGGCTACACAGCTGTAAAGGGCAGCAGGATTTGTCTAGAGAATTGAACACAATCTCATTGCTGGTATCCAGAGCGCAGTACGCTGGCTGTGGAGCAGTTGTGCCAAACACCTTGGGGGGTGGGAGCAATTCCATTTTCATAAACTACTCCAGCCTCCTTTACTTCCTACCCAGGTATGCAGCATCCATTTAGTGGCATCCGTCCATCATCATCCTGGTGAGAAGAAAAGTACAGCTTGTAGACAAGGGAAGGAATCAGCATGAGAAGGGGAGGGAGGGAGATTTTGAAAGATTGGTAGATTGTCAACATCATTTTAGGGAAAATATGACAAAGAAAGCAACCCCTGTGATGCTGAATTTCACATTTTCTGATGGGTGATCTGCAACCTCTCAATTAAAAAAAAACAAAAAACAAAGGAGTCTTTCAAACAAATGGAAAGAAAAAATTAAAGGGAAATGATTTTGTAGTCATTGTAATTGACTGCTGCATAATATTAGAAATTATTGTACTGTGAAGTTGCAAATTCAAAAAGGAACAAATACAAATTTCGATTTTGTGAGTATATCAATATTTTGCATGCTTTGTAAGGATTCTTATAGGAATTTAATATTGCTTAGTATCCCTCCCTCCTTAGGTCTGGGAGCAAACCTCTTTGTAATGTAATGTACAACTAGAAATTCCTTCTCTCTTGTATGTATTTCCACTACATTCCAACTTCTGAACCCATAAAACAGAAAAACTGTTTATAGTAGGAGGTGCTTTTTTGGGGGAGGGAGGGAATGAAGGCAAGGAAACTTGAAAGCGTAAGATTTTGATTTTTTATTTTATTTTTTGCTTTTTTGAAGGTAAAAATTAGTCACAATCCTGAAGAACATTGACTTAAGGAAAGTCATGCAGAGCAGTAAACCACACTCTCTGGTTTTGTTTTTATGTATTTGTTCTCATTTTTACATAGCAGTTCTATAGCAATCCTTTTACTGCAAGCTGCACACCAACCTGTTCCAAGCTGTTGTTTGATGTATCTGAGGCAGTAGTGCTGCTGATTTAAAAGGAAAAACCCAACCAAACTACACCAGGTGGTTGGGTAACAGCCTTTTCCTTTTGGTGTTTGGAATCTGTGGCTGCTATTTGCAGTGTTTAAACTGGAAAGCAATACCATAATGACTGTGCCAATTTACTTTTGCCCAACTTTTTTATTTTTATTTATATAAGAAGTTGATTTTAATATTAAAGTACTGATCTATAGTATGTAACCAGGAGAAAATTGCTTTTGCTTTGGTTACTGTTACAGGTGGTTGCTTTTAGTCTCTCATTACAATGCTCAGTTCTAATGTAACATTATCTAACATGCAGGCATGTGGATCAGGGAAAAAAGTTAATTTAACTTAACCCATTAATTATTTCTGTTAAGTATGAATATGTTTTTCCCAAAGCTGGTAATTTTGGGCTGGAAAAGATATGCTGATGATGAAGTCATGGACTCATTTGAAATATGAGAACTGATTTCTTGAATTTCATTTAATTTTGCAATTAAGTTTTTTCAAATAGTCTTATGTTTTCAGAAATTAAGTATTTCCAAAAGGCTTTTATGTTCTTTTCCCAGGGAGGTTGGTTGGTTTTGGTTTTGTTTTTTTTACTTTGTTATTTTTTTAATAAGCCTTATCATACTTTAAAAGGGAATTGCAAAACCTGGCTTTAGAGAGGCCGCCTGATTTCTACTCTTACGTATTCCCTTGCGAGTTCTGTCAGAAAACCTAACTCTTCCATTTTCTCTATCAAAAAGGTACAATATAAGAGCAAACTAGCAAAAAATTACCCTTTACATGTGCACTGGGAGTTTATGTTCTTTCAGTTTCTAGTGTATTGGAGAGACCTTTCTAAAAATGTAGCTTTCAGTAACAGGAATCTGAAACGTTAATATTTTCAACTAAAGAAATTCCGGTGTTTAGGATAGTCTGTGTATTTCCAGTTTAAAGAGAGGAATAAGCATCAGTTTCCTGGCATTTAGAGACTATTTTAAAATTATCATGGATGTTTTTAACACTGAATAGGTTTTTAAGTAAAATTTTTAAAAGTTAAGTAAAGCAAACTATGGGAAAAGTTTTCAAAGATGGTCAAGAAATAACAGTTACTAGATCAGTTTCAGCTTTGTGTTTGTGTGTGCTTTGTATGGGAGGGGAGTGTTTGAAACCAAATTGAAACACATCCATTAAAATGCTGCTGGTGTTCTTTATTCTTGCACAATTTTTAACAAGTTGAGGTAGTAGCTAAGCTATTTCAAGCTGTATTTTAATGCTGCTATTTTTCAATGTATCAGCTAAGGGCAAAATACAGCAGTGTAGTGACTATATTTGCTGATGCCCACTGCCTGCCTTGACTCTGACCTTCAGTTGCTAGGACAAGGCAATCAGCATGCACCCTACGGAGCAAAACTGCAACTTCTTTGTTGGCCACGAGGTGGTGGAACCACAGAGTATGTTTATGGGAGATGCAGTCTTTTTACAGTTCATTCATTTTACCTGATTAAAAATCTGTTTTAGGGTTATGTTAGTTTTCTATGAGTTTATTTAAACCAATGTACTGTTCTTTAAAGCATACATGGATCTCCATATCTGTTTGTCACCCTTGTAACACTGGAAGGCATCACAATGTGTTCTTTTATCTTAACGTGCCATTCTTTCAAGTATGTATAAAATGTAAATTGACCAACATGGCTTTTAAAAATGTTTAAAATCTGATGGCAAAAAACCAACCCTTTCTGATTCCTCACTGGTTAATCCTTTTGTTTCAATGCTTGGTCATCTACTGGGATAACATTATCAGATGTGGCATTCTTATTATGGAAATTTTAGTAAGAAATGGGAAATGCTTTAAGAAAAAGACCTAGCAGAAGACGAGTACATTCATGCTAGATGTAAGGGATTTGCTTCTGTTCCTTGAAGAAGAAAAATCTGAAAAGGCAATTCCTAAGTTGATATGATCAAATTAATTGAATTCTTGGTGTAGTTAGTCACTTGTTTATGCCCTCTTAAATTTGTAGTCCAGGTATGTTTTTCCTTGTAAACTTTGCCAACACTGTCATAGTACTGTTATCAGAAAAATAAATCTGATAACATTCACTTCCTTTAACTGAGGGCACATGCAACTGAGATACTGGAGCCTTAGACTAGTATTAGCAATTCTCCATTCTGAACTAGAATGAAGTGAATGTTCATGTGTGTTCTCTGAATTTTCTGATTGAATAGAACTAAATACATGGATTGCCCTCAGAATCAACAGAAGCTCTAAAGGAAGCACTTACAGTTAATGATTACTCCTTAATGAGGTTTTAGAGACTAAAGGTAACACAAATAGAAAAGAGAAGCATAATTAGGCATCACTCAGATCACATCGTACAGAAGGCGGCTTGTGCCCTAGATAACTGTAAGCAGAGACTGTCTTGCCAATAAATAAATATTAATATAGGAATGCCAGGAATTTAGCTTCTGTAGCCTCCCAGTTCTGATGTGCTGCAACCCCTTTCTTGCCACTGAAAATTCACAGTTCAGTGCTAAGAAAGCAAAGCTTAGCACTTGTTTTCTACCTTTTTCACCACTGTTGTGGCAATAGATGAGGAGGAGCAATACAGTCCATATATTACTGTAGGTGAAACACCACCGCAAAGGGAAAAGTGAAATGAACCAGAAAGTTAAACTATTTTTTAAGCTAAAAGCTGTTTCTAGGCTGCAAGGATAAAATGTCACAACGTGCTATAACACAAAATGGTTGAAGTAGTAGGACCAAAGCAAACCTGAGTGCACATAATCTTGATTCTCCTCTGCCTATGACCATATCACTAGATTTAGGCCTTCCAGGTCAAGGAGATACATAAATGCTATTGCCAAGAATTAGAAAATTATTAAATGACCTAATTTTCCTCCTCTGTTAATTCTCTTTGTGTTACCATCTCATAGTAGAATTGCTGGAGACTGTTGGAAAAAAAACATGCAGGTGAACCATGTGAATACTGTCCATGTCATTTATTTCCTACTGTCATGTTTCACTTTGCTGTAGGAGAGTCCCCTCCTTTTCCAACAGAAACCACATCATTCTGCACTGCAGAAACAACCGCACCAGGAGGTTCAGTTTGTAGCACAGCTATCCCTGGAGATAAATAGACTATTTCCAGTCTGGAAATGGTTGCAATTCTGGTGCAGAATGGGCCAGGTACTGCTAAAGCTCTGGGTTCATGTAGTACTGGTTAGCAAGTTCAGTAAGATGCTATTATTTACACCTGTTCAAGCATATTTGGGAATTAATATGATTAGAGAGTCCCCAAGCCTAGCAGAACTGTTTGCTCTACTGCTTTATCTTAATCAGTCATGTTCAAATCATGGTTCATCAGAATGGGGAAAACTGTTCTTTTCTACTAGAGCTTTCATTTGTGTAACTGTGCAGTCTTTCCCTGGTAGCGAGATGTTCTGAGAACCCAAGACATCCTACAGATGAGCCATTTCTCTAATCTGCAGAATGATTTCTATGCCAAGGCCACGTTACATCCCTGTGGATCTACAAAGGGGAGGCTTGTGTACAAATCAGCTTCCTGCCTGGAAGGAGAATGTGGCATCTTTCTGCAGATGACCTAACCCAAGGACCACAGGGTAGAGCCCATCAGTGAGCAGCTGGTCTTGGGCCTTAGGTGCTCACATCGCCCCTGGGGCAGTCTGAGTGAGGCCCAGAAAGCAGTTAATGGGAAAATCCTCATCCAGATCCTTCTTCCTATGCTTAATTGAATGAACAAATGCCAATCTACATAGAGTAGTTCAAATTTCCTCCATTTTAGTCCCATTTTGGGAGAAATTGGGACTACACTAACACTAGGTGTTACACAAATAGCTGAAAATTGATCCATATCTACCACCTACTACATTTGACAGTTTTTCATCTAAAAGCCCCCACAGCGAAAGGATGTTTCTTCACAACAGCATCTTCTAATCCCTTCTTTACTGCTTCTGACAGCCTAAGAGAAATCTTGTTTTGGGCTTCACGGTGATGTATGAAAACTTGTGAAGGCACTCAGTAAGGGTAATGTATTTGGAATTCTGGATAAAACATGCCTATACAGGGACGTTTGAGGAGATGGGATATCAATACTAACCAAGGCAGCAAAAAGAGGGTTAAGAAATTGTTGTGTTGGATGACCGAGAAGCACCACAATGAAGGGGTGAATTTGAACATGGACACTCTGAAATGTTGTCCTTTCTGTGTCTGTCCAGCAAATAAAATAAAACTAAGCCTTCTCTTGCCTATGTAAGTTGTGCAGTTTGTTCTTACCTCTAGCATTACAAGTTTTTATAATCCATGAAGAATTCCAAGGAAAGGAATGAAGACTATTTATTTAAATATAAATATAATTAAATTATATAATTAGTGCTAAATTATCACGTAGAAGACAAACAACTTATTGTTTGGATAATTTTGGGTTTCATCAGAGTTAATATTAGCATTGTTTTAACACTACCATATTAGGAATTTGGTTTTTGACATTTTATACTGCTGTTGCTAGTGCTTCAGTAACTTACAGTGCTCTCTTTTTCAAAAATAAAACCTAGTCCTAATAGTTTAATATTGAAAGGTGTTGAAACTGTACTGCTCAGCATCTCTCAGTTTAGGCCTAAAGAGAGGGGAAAAGGGAGGAAAAAGCTGTCATTTTGGATATTTTTTTTAATTTTCTGAGAAAAGTGGTATGCAAAAGGGATCCAAAAACTGTATGTGGAGGGGAAAAAAGGCATCTGTAGCCTTTCTTTGTATACAGTGTTAAATAAAATTTCCTGTATCTATGTTTGTCAGGTTCTTTTAGTCTTATTTAACTAAAAACTGGGCCTACATTAAATTGAATGTGTGAATGCATTCAACAGAATTTGCTAGAGGTATGGAATTTAACTGGTGTTTCAAAATAAAAGCTATTTCATGCTTTACAAGGGAAAAGCTTAAAATCTAAAGGTTAGTACAGGGTTATTGCTGAATTAAACTATAATGTGGAAATAGTTTACATGTAAGGTAGAGAAGTAGCTGGGCAAAACCAGTCCATTTTCAGATGCGTGTTAACCCTTTTGTAGGAGTACTGCTTCAAAATGGAGCCCGTCTCAAACCATGGATCCTTTAGTGGTGTGCAGGCCTCCGCACTAGAACGAGAGGCTCTGGCCTCTTCAAACATTGCATGAAATTTGTAGGTGGGTTTTGTAGGAATCAATGTGGAAACTGAATCAGTTATTTAAATCAAGCTTTCTTGGTGCTTTATTTAAATAAAATGTTATTTAAATGATTAATGTAATTAAAGTATACGTATGTTTTAATATAGTCTAAATTTAATATAAAATATAAACCTCTATAATAAAAAGATACCTGCTCAAAAGGTCTCTACCTGATTTTCGTTCAGTGTGGATCACAAAGATGACATGTTTCAATGGCAATATCCAAAGTGGAGAAAAATGTAGCTGACTTTATACAGTGTTTAAAATTACACTGAAATAAGATATAGGTCAAGAAGAAAATGTCACGCTTACCCCTACGTTGGGAAAAAAAGGGGAAACTCAGTGACTATTACTAATACTTCCTTACAGTGGTATATCTGTATAATTATTTTCAAAATACTTTTCAGATAGCTTCAATGTGTAATTCTTCTGCTAAGTGGTTCTTAATTAGAAAGCATAGCTTTGTAGTGCAACCACATTGAATGGTACTAGATACCTCTGAGTGAGCCTGGAAGGTATCACAGAATATCTCAAGTTGGAAGGGACCCATAAGAATCGAGTCCAACTCCCTGCTCCTCGCAGACCTGCCTAAAACTATGGCTCAGTGTTGTCCAGATGCTCCTTGAACTCTGCCAGGCTTGGGGCTGTGACCGCTTCCCTGAAGAGCCTGTCCCAGTAACTGACCATGCTCTCAGGGAAGAACCTTTTCCTAATGTCCAATCTGAACTTGGCCTGACACACCTTTGTTCCATTTCCTCATGTCCTATTGCTGGTCACCAGAGAGAAGAGATCAGCACCTCCCATTCCGCTGCCCACTTGAGGAAGCTGTGGACTGTGATGAGATCACCCCTCAGCCTTCTCCAAGCTGAACAAACCAAGTGACCTCAGCTGCTCCTTGCAAGTCTTGCCCTCAAGACCCTTAACCATCTTGGTCACCCTCCTTTGGACACACTCAAATAATTTGATGTCCTTCTTATATTGAGGCACCCAGTACAGTATCGAGTGGGACAGTCGCCTCCCTCAACAGTCTGTGCTGTGCTCAGTGCACCCCAGGGCACTGTTGGCCCTTTTGGCTGCCAGGACACACTGCTGACTCATAATGAACCTGCCATCAACCCAAAGTCCCAGATCTCTTTCTGCAGGGCTGCTCTCCAGCCTCTCTTCTCCCAATTTGTATGTATAACAAGGATTACCCTGCCGCCCCAGGTGGAGAATCCTGTGTTGGTCACATCCTTCTCCAGGTGGGAGCTCTACCAGGAGCTCTGCTCACACAGCCACACTTCTACCACGTCAAGCTCGTCACTGACTACCAGGCTGGTGCTTCTCAGCTGCTTTCCCTCCTTGAAGACTCTGAGTGAGCACCACCACTGGCTTGAGATGAACTGCAGAGTGCAAGCTTGTGCAAAGTCTTCCACTAAACACTTACAGTACCCTACTTTTCTGTAACAAGAAGGAACAAATGAAACTTAAGGCTGGAGCAGGATGAGAAAGAGCATTTGAGTGCATGATAACCATGGATGTTCTGTGCAAATTGCTACACCTGAGCAGGTGTCTATTCATGTTCCAGGCAGTTCTCATGCTGCTTCCTGAAGCTTGGACCAGGCTGCCCTGAGGCAGCTGCTCCCCAGAAGCCCTGCAGGATACAGCTGCCAGTCTGAGACAGGATCAGCTGTACCTGCCCCACTCCCAAGAGACATTTGTCTGCTCTTTTGTTAGAAGCCTCCAATTATGGAAATTCTGTAATCCTCTTGGGCAATCTAATCCAGAACATAACCACAAAGAAAGTTTTCCTAGTAGACAGCTGAAACCTCTTGCACACATTACAGGATATAATGCTGCAATATTATGCAGGTTTTTTCAGTGACCTTTCAAGTTCCTGAACTAGGACACCAGTCATGTGCACTGTCAGCTCACAGCCTGTTCATTAATTCATCGAGCTGAACGAACCATGTTCTGTTTCCTGCTAGAAAACAGAAAGCTGAGCTCCTTTGTGGGCTACCATGTAAACAGACTGTACAAACCAAATGTAGACATTTTTCAGATCCCTAATACAGAATTAATGCTGCTGATTGTAATTGAAATGCCCTTTTTTAGTAATAAATAACTCTTAAAATTCAATCCAAAAGGTAGAACCTCAGGATGACATTTTGTTGAACATCATGGACCAGAAAACCTAGTAGAATGACATTGGTCATATTGTTACAAAACAAATGTCAGAAATACTACTTAAGAATAAAGGAGCCTTTCAATGTCAAACAAATACACTGTGGCTGCGCAACAGCTACCAGGGGAATCCTGCCAGCTAAGAACAGGCAGACTGACAGAGATATGGATTGGGAAGGACAGCTAAATAAAATGACTCACTTTGTAAGACACTTAAATAGGAAATTTTTCCCACAATTTAAACCAAACTATGTTGTAACATCTGGAAGCATACATCCTCTCAGTTTTAAAGGGAATTCTGATGAAACATAGATGTCATTTACTTTGCTTTGCAGTATTAAAAATTAAATTTTACCCAAGATAACAAGGGGACTGTAAATCATACTCCCCCTCACTGATCTGCAGCCCTAGGAATTCTAGGAAGGAACGTACCTCAAGGGAAAAGCTGTAATGCAATCTTATATTGAAGTGTTTCTTTTGATAAAACAGCTGAGTCGCTACCGGGAGAGGCTTTACCTCGTGGTCTGAGCTAAACAGAAACCCTGATGGGGAAACTTTTACAGGGATATGTCAAATCAGCACATTTTCTTAGTTACTGTGTTCATAGCACTTTCCAGCCAATGCCTGTAAATACAGACTGCTGTACCTCCCACTAAAGCACCAACACTGTAATTTGGGTTTATTAACTGCAGTTGGTTGTTATTCATAACAACAGTCACACGTCCTGTGTAACAACAAAGCTTAGTGCATGTAGTCTTTTAACGAGGCTAGAACCTGAAAGCTTGTCTTCACAGGCAGTTCTTGTAACTTAAGAAAACTACTCTACACAACATTTAAACATTCACTTCTCGCTCAAATGAAAAGCTGTACTAATACTGTATCGTAAGGCAGAGGTTTAGGGGACGCACCGCCCCCCCGGCTGGGTGTCGCTACCTGCCTTGTGCGCGCCCAGTGCTCGAGCGGCGGCCGCCCGCTCCCGCGCGCTGGTGAAAGCCGCTCGGCAGTCCCGGCTTTGCTGCACACGCGCGGGTTCCCTCCTTAAGGTTTCTCTGACGGTTAAAATCTACGGTTTTATTCCAGGGGAAAAAAAAAAAAAAAAG